GCATCACTTCAGGTAAGGTGGTTACCAAAGTATGTCTCAATCTTCTTTTCTCTTCTCCAAACTTCTCCAACTCCCTAAACTGTTCCTCATAAGGCTTGTCTTCTAGACTTTTTATCATATCAGTACCTCCAGCTTGTCAATACTTCTTGAACTTTGATTATCAGAACTGGACATAATGAAGTCTGACCAAAGCAGAACAAAGTGGTATTCAACATTTCCTTGATCTGGATCCAACAGTCTTGTTGATGCAGTTTAAGTGCCCTTCCACATAGCCATATAACACAGAATAGCAAGGCGGATAATCCACAACATCTGCTTTGAACAGGATTATTTGAGTTCACACTGCCATATAATCCATTTCTATGTGGATTGTATACAGCTGTCTGGAAGGGGCCTAAGGCTGGATTCTACTCTGCCCTATATCCCACAATGCGAACCCAGATTATTTGCTTATTCCAGATTATATGGCAGTGGGGATTTATATAATCCAGTTTATGGTTTATAACCTGGGATCAGATCCATGGATATAAGGACAGTGTCGGTGCATCATATAATCCAGTTCAAAGCAGATAATCTGGGATTAGATCATGGGATATAGGACAGTGTGCAGATCCATCCTAAAACTTTACTGGTTTTAGCTGTCACGCTGATGTTTAGCTTGTGATCTATCACTCATGTTTGGCTTGTAATCTATTAAAACCCCAGATCCTTTTCTTATCTACTGCTGTCAAGTCCTGAGCATTTCATTTCTCCCCTAAATGGAGTATACTTATTTTTTCTCCTTGGATTTCTTTGAGAGCGTCTCATTCCCTGCATATTTCCAATTTCCTAGTCCTGGACTGCAACTCTCCACACTACTCCTCTGTTGCGTCAGCTCCACTGTCTGCTAATTTGCTACCGAGCACAATTCAAAGTGCTGGCTTTAGCCTATAAAGCCCTAAATGATTCCGGCCCAGCTTACCTGTCCAAACGTATCTCCTCCTATGAACCATCTAGGAGCTTAAGATTGTCTGGAGAGGCCCTGCTCTCGATTCTGCCTGCCTCGCAAGTGTGATTGGCAGAGACGAAGGACAGGGCCTTCTACGTGGTGGCCCACAGGCTATGGAACTCCTTCCCCAGGGATATTAGATCGGCCCCCTCCCTCCTGACTTTCTGAAAAAAAAGTAAAGACTTGGTTCTTTGAGCAAGCTTTTGAGAATGCAGCGGAAGAGATTACACGGAACTATGAATGATGAACATGGAATGGCAAGATGATGCTACTGGGTGACGTTTTTAACAGGATGACACCGATGATTATATGCTTTAACGGTTCTTATATATGTTTTATATTGTAATGTTGATTGTTTTTAATGGCACTTTTATGAATGCCTGACATTGAATTGTGCCAATCTGTAACCCGCCTTGAGTCGCCATATGGCTGAGAAAGGCGTCCTATAAATATAATAAAAAATAATAATAAACTCCCAGCAATCCTCCAGATAGATAGATTAGATAGAGGTAGGTAGGTAAGTAAATCGATCTGGAGAACTGCTGGGAGTTGCAATCCAAGAATAGGTAGAGAAGGAAGAAAGGGGAGAAACAGGAAGGGTAAGAAAAAGTGGGGGGAGAAGAGAAGGAAGGAGAGAAAGAAAGAAAAAAAGGAAGGAAGGAAAGAGGGAGGGAGGGAGAAGGAGAGAAAGAAAGAAGAGAAAGAAGGAGGGAAGGTTGGCCACAGCACGCGTGGGGGAAGGAGGTACAGCTAGTATTAATATATTTTTGGGGCCTAGTTGCATTGCCCCTTTTAAAAGGTAACCCTGAAACCTCTAGGACTTGTTGCCAATGAGACTGGGAAGCAAGGAGATGGAAATAGATTTTATTTCCAAATAAAGGTCTGATGGTAGCAGTGAAAAACAGACCCCTGAACGAAGCATGCATGAGGCTTTTATAGGATTTCCAAGTATGTTTCACACTTTCCTATATTTCCTTTCACATTTCTCTTTCCCTTTGTTCCTGTTCCATATGGTACTTTGATCTGGTGTTTACCAAAACAATTAAAGTGAGCAATTTCCCCAGTTTCCTGATTAAAGGTCAATCCATCAAATACCATTTGGACTTCATGAGACCTATTTGAACTTTCTTCCTTTCCTTTAATGCTCCATTTGGTATGTTTTGTTGTTTGATCTTTCTTCCTTTGTTACATCTAAGGCTATTGCATTCGTCAGCCGTCCATCACCTGGTTTTTCTTTTTCCCTCTAATGTCTTACAACTTCCATTTGGTATGTTTTTCTGTTTAGAAAGTTTTCCTTTTGTCCCTTTGTGTCTCTAACCCTAACCTGGATTTTAATTGGCATGTTTTAACAACTGTTTAATGTTTTGTTTTAATGAATTTGTTGATTGTTCTTTATCATTATGATGGCACCGAATGTTGTTTGCTGTGAGGCCGCCCTGAGTTCCCCCTCGGAGGTGAGAAGGGCAGGGTACAAGTATATGAAATAAATAAATAAAATAAATAGGACAATCCCACCATAAGAGAATGGGACATAGAATCATAGTTAGAAGAGACCTCGTGGGTCGTCCAGTCCAACGCAATTCCAAGAAGCAGGTAAATCGCATTCAAAGCACCCCTGACAGATGGCCATCCAACCACATTTAAACATGAGGTATAAAAATTAATAACACCTAATAAAAACATTAAAATTACATGATCCAGACTCGTAGACTGGGTAATTGCAGATGTAGACTGCACATAATAATAATAATAATAATCATCATCATCATCATCATCATCATCTTTATTTGTACCCCGCTCCATCTCCCTAATGGGGACTTGGTGCGGCTTACATGAGGACAAGCCCAAAACAACAATTACATAAAATAAAACAAAACTGAAAATGCAAATAATAATAATAATGCAATTACATAAAACAAAAGACAACATAGCAATATAAAATTACAATAAACACAATCACAACAACATGGGCGAGCTACATGTAATGGATAAAAGAAAACACGAGATAAACAAGGACAGATTATTTGCGGAGGAGATATTCCATATTTACCCCACCTTGAGCCGTCAGGAGAGGCGGATAATATCTAAAATGGATTCTGTATTGTCGAAGGCTTTCATGGCCGGAATCACTGGGTTGCTGTAGGTTTTTTCGGGCTATATGGCCATGTTCTAGAGGCATTCTCTTCTGACGTTTCGCCTGCAACTATGGCAAGCATCCTCAGATCTCAGAGGTCTGTTGGAACTAGGAAAAAGGGTTTATATATCTGTGGAATGACCAGGGTGGGACAAAGGACTCTTGTCTGCTGGAGCTAGGTGTGAATGTTTCAACTGACCACCTTGATTAGCATTTGATGGCCTGGCTGTTGTTTGGTGTGGCTTGTTAGTGCCTGGAGCAATCTTTTGTTGAGAGGTGATTAGATGTCCCAGATTGTTTCCTCTATTGTTTTGCTGTTGCAATTTTAGAGTTTTTTTAATACTGGTAGCCAGATTTTATTCATTTTCATGATTTCCTTCTTTCTGTTGAAATTGTCCGCATGCTTATGGATTTCAAGGTTGCCATTCATTTTCCGGACCCAATTCAAGGTGCAGGTTCTTACCTACAAAGCCCTGAACTGCTTGGAACCCGCCTACCTGCGTGACCGCATCTCTGTATACGAACCCACACGATCTCTCCGTTCATCTGGAGAGGCCCTGCTCGCGATCCCACCTGCACTGCAGGTGCGATTGGTGGGCACAAGAGAGAGGGCCTTTTCGGTGGTGGCCCCCTGACTCTGGAATTCATTTCCTAAGGACATCAGGCAGGCCCCAACTCATGGCTGTTCCAGTGTGCCTTCCCAGAATAATGATCCCATAACACTTTGTCCTCCAAAGCACTTTACTTTTTAGGTCTGCTTGTATGTTTTCCACAAATGCCCCATCACTTTTTCGCCCATGTTCCAGCATTACTTCCAATTTTAATTTTACATTTGGCCTTCCCATAGTTTTTAATCGTGTGGTCTTATTGTTAATGTTGTATTATTGTATTGTCCATGTTTATTTTAATTTGCTTGTATTGTTGTATTTGGGCTCGGCCTCATGTAAGCCGCACCGAGTCCCTTGGCGAGACGGTGGCAGGGTACAAATAAAGTTGTTGGTTTTTTTTTTTTTTTGTCGTGTCAGGACTTGAAAAACTGCAAGTCGCTTCTGTTGTGAGAGAATTGGCCATCTGCAAGGACGTTGCCCAGGGGACGCCTGGATGATTTGATGTTAAAGTGTTGTTATTATTATTATTATTATTATTATTATTATTATTCATGGTGGTCAGTTAAAACATTCACACCTAGCTCCAGCAGACAAGAGTCCTTTGTCCCACCCTGGTCATTCCACAGATATATAAACCCCTTTTCCTAGTTCCAACAGACCTCACTACCTCTGAAGATGCTTGCCATAGATGCAGGCAAAACGTCAGGAGAGAATGCCTCTAGACCAGTGGTTCTCAACCTGGGGTCCCCAGATGTTTTTGGCCTACAACTCCCAGAAATCCCAGCCAGTTTACCAGCTGTTAGGATTTCTGGGAGTTGAAGGCCAAAACATCTGGGGACCCCAGGTTGAGAACCACTGCTGTAGACCATGGCCATATAACCCGGAAAAAACCTACAGCAACCCAGATTATGATTCTCATTAAATTGGGAAGAACAACAAAAGCCAGGCAGCCAACCAAACCTTGGGCCACGTGGCCTTGTTTTATAATTTCGCCCTCCACGCCCCTTTCCCCCGTCTAGCCAATCGGAGGCCAGCTTGCGCGGGAAAGGGGCGGATGACGTGTGGTTTTATGTAAGCCTGTGGCCTCGCTCGGGACTGTCTCGCGCGCCGGCGAAAGGGAGGGGGGAGGTGGCGAGGGAGAGGGGATCTGTGTTGAGAGAGCTTACCTGCTCTGTGAGAAAAGTGGCAACGAGGGAGAGGCGAGTGGGCGGAGCTTGCTGTGCGCGCGCGCAGGGGCGGTTGAAGAATTGTCCCACAAGGGGCGAGGGGCGGGGGGAGGGGTTGTTTGACAGGAGTGCGCAGGCACGCCCAGCTCCACTCAGACAGAGTTGGGAGTTTGGAAGGAGCGTCTCGAGCGGCGGCGTCGTCGCGTGCCACACGCCCCCTTTCCCTGAGAGGAAGAAGGTATCATGGCGTCTCCTTCGATGGAAGTTCCCTCAGAGCCCGGCGTCCCGTCGGAGCAGGAGCGGCTCCTTCGACGAGGAGAGCGCCTGGCGCTAGGCCACCACCTGAAAGAAGCGCTGGAGGCCTACTCGGCGGCGCTGCGCCTGGGCCCGCCGCCTATGCCGAGTTGCCGCCGCCGCCTCAGCACTTTGGTGGACTGTTTGGTGCTCCATTACCGTCTCCGGCAGAAGGAGGAGGAGGAGGAGGGAGAGGAGCAGGCCGCGGAAGCAAAAGGAACAGCCTCGCCGCCTGAAGAGAAGCGGAAAGAGGAGGAGGAAGAAGAAGAAGAAGGGCTTTTCCGCTGCTCAGGCTGCCGCGGCTTCTTAAGCGAGCCCGTGACGGCTCCCTGCGGGCACAGCTCCTGCCGCCGCTGCCTGAGCGAGGAGCTCCGCGCCCGGTGCCGCCGCTGCGGGGAGCCCCTGGGGTTGCTTCCCGCCTCCGTCACCGTGGCCCTCCGCCACCTGGGCGAGAAGTGGTTCCCGGCCGAGTGCGAGAGGGCGCGGGCCTGGCGGCGCCTCGGGCAGCTCCTGGCACAAGGGCGGCCCCGGGAAGCCCTGCACGCCGCCAGCCGCGGCCTCGCCGAAGGTAAGACGCCGGGAAGGGTCACTCGCGCTGCAGCAGCCAACCCTCGCGCCACCCAGGTTCCAACCAGAATAATAATAATAATAATAATAATAATAATAATAATAATAATAATAATAATAATCTTTGTCGAAGGCTTTCATGGCCGGAATCACTGGGTTGTTGTAGGGTTTTTTCGGGCTATATGGCCATGTTCTAGAGGCATTCTCTCCTGACTTTTCGCCTGCATCTATGGCAAGCATCCTCAGAGGTAGTGAGGTCTGTTGAAACTAGGAAAAGAATTTATATATCTGTGGAATGACCAGGGTGGGACAAAGAACTCTTGTCTGTTGAAGGCAAGTGTGAAGGTGAGAGGATCCTTGTCCTTTGCTGAATGTAAGTAAAGGTAAAGGTAGTCCCCTGACATTAAGTCCAGTCATGTCTGACTCTGGGGTGTGGTGCTCATCTCCATTTCTAAGCCGAAGAGCCAGCATTGTCCGTAGACACCTCCAAGGTCATGTGGCCGGCATGACTGCATGGAGCGCCGTTACCTTCCCACCAGAACGGTACCTATTGATCTACTCACATTTGCATGTTTTCAAACTGCTAGGTTGGCAGAAGCTAGGGCTGACAGTAGCATTTGTTAAATTTTCTTAGTGGGTCTGTCAGGCATGTAGCCGGGGGGGGGGGGGCTTGGGGGGGGGGGACCCCCCCCCCCCTTGCACACTCTTATTCAGAAAAAGGATAACACCAGATGAGCCCTGAACCCCCCCCCCCCCCCCCCCAAATTCTCATGGTGGTTCATGAAAGGCCTTACTGGTGCATTATTTAAACTGTTATGTTTATTCATATCATGATCTGATCACCATACTCAATATATCCCATATGCATGGGGGTATTGGGGTAACGATACAAAAGGTTTGCTAGGTAGACCCTCTTTCACTCAGACTCAGCCCCCCCCCCCCCGAATCGAAATCCTGGCTACGGGCCTGGGGTCTGTAGATAGTTTGTATGTTGTGTTTCCTCATCAGCTTCCCTATGTGGTTCTTGATGTATGGCAAGAACACTTTCCTCTGAGTGGATCTTCGTCTTGACTCTCGTGGCTTGTTCTCGGTCTTCTGATGTCTGAGGTGGAGTATCCATTGGCCTGTAAAGCCCAGTTTAGGTGGTTCAGTTCATCTTGGAGGAGGTGGGGTTCGCAGATTCTTTTTGCACGGTCTGCCAAGGCTTTAATGGTGCTTCTTTTTTGACTTGGGTGATGGTTGGAGTTTTTATGTAGATATCTATCTGTGTGTGGGTTTTCTGTAAACGATGTGACCCAATTGTTGATCTGGTTTACGGATGACTAGGACACAACATACAAATTACCTACAGACCCACTAAGAAAATCCAACAAATGCCATGTTCAGCAAAGGACAAGAGGGATTCTCTCACCTCTGCAGGAGTCTACAATATTCCATGCAGCTGTGGACAAGTCTACATAGGGACCACCAAACACAGCATTGCCCAAACACGAATCAAGGAACATGAAAGGCACTGCAGACTACTTCAACCAGAGAAGTCAGCCATAACAGAGCACCTGATGAACCAACCTGGACACAGCATTTTATTTGAGAACACAGAAATGCTGGACCACTCTAATAACCACCATGTCAGACTACACAGAGAAGCCATTGAAATCCACAAGCATGTGGATAATTTCAACAGAGAAAACCATGAAAAGGAACAAAATCTGGCTACCAGTATTAAAAAAACTCTAAAATTACAACAGCAAAACAACAGAGAGGAAATAAACAAGGACATCTAATCACCTCTCAACAAAAGATTGCCCCAGGCACTGCCAGGTCATCAAATGCTAATCAAGGTGGTCAGTTGAAACATTCACACCTAGCTCCAGCAGGCAAGAGTTCTTTGTCCCACCCTGGTCATTCCACAAATATGTAAACCCTTTTTCCTAGTTCCAACAGACCTCAATACCTCTGAGGGTGCTTGCCATAGATGCAGATGAAACGTCAGGAGAGAATGCCTCTAGAACATGGCCATATTGCCCGAAAAAACCCAAAACAACCCAATAATAAACTATTTATACCCCGCCACCATCTCCCCAATGGGGACTCGGAGCGGCTTACATGGGGCCAAGCCCGGACAACATATTACAGCAATAAAATCAAAGCGTAAACAACTACAACATAATCAAAATTACATAAGAAAAAAAGCAGTCATAAAATAGCATTCTAATAAACACAATCACAGTAACGATAACAATGGGCGGGCCACGTGTAAAGGATAAAACAAAAGACTGTAATGAGATAAAATAGGAGCAGGATATTTACGGGGAACTCATAAAACACACAGTTGTGAGGCTAAACTTCCCATTTGGAGGGCGTGAGCTCCAGTAGCAAAAATGTTGAGGGGCGCAAAATGTCATGGTGTGCACCTACTCATCAAAGGCGCAGCGGAAGAGCCAGGTTTTAAGGTTCTTTTTGAACGTTTCTAGTGAAGGGGCTTTCTTGATCTCTCCAGGTAAAGGGTTCCAAAGTCGGGGAGCCACAGAGGAGAAGGCTCTCTCCCTTGTACCCACAAGAATAACGCCTTGTTGTAGCTTGGGGCCCATCCATATGGCCCTATATTCTAGGATATCAAGGCAAGAAATCCCACAATATCTGCTTTGAACTGGAGTATATGGCAGTGTGGACTCAGTTCAAAGCAGATATTGTGGGATTTTCTATCTTGATGTTCTGGGTTATATGACTATGGGCCCTTCCACACAGCCCTACATCCCAAAATATCAAGGCAAAAAAATCCCACAGTATCTGCTTTGAACAGGGTTAATCTGAGTCCACCCTCAGATAATGTGGGATTTTCTGCCTTGATATTCTGGAATATAGGGCTGGGTGGAAGGGCCCACAGTTATATAACCCAGAAGATAAAGGCAAACCATCCACAACATCTGCTTTAATCTGGGGCCCCTTCCACACAGCTGAATAAAATCTCACATTATCTGCTTTGAACTGAAATATATGGCAGTGTGGACTCAGATAACCCAGTTCAAAGCAGGTATTGTGGGTTTTTCTGCCTTGATATTCTGGATTATATGGCTGTGTGGAAGGGATTTTAGTACAAAAGGAAAGAAAGGAGGAAGCAGAATCTTGCCCTAGTTAGTAGGGTCAGGAAAAAACTGGCAGCCTCTCCAAGCTTCATTGATAATTTTTGCCATCTTGACTGTATTCTGATGTTGCTTAGTTACTTTTTCTAGTTTTAATCAGTGACAGGTCCACTATCCCAGGATTTGATCCCAGGTTTTCTGTTTATCCCATATTATCTTGCAGTGTGAACTCATATAATCCAATTTAAAACACAAAATCTGTGATCAGATCTTAAGATATAGGGCTTGTCTGGGAGGGGCCTGAGGCCCTATCCATACAGCTGAATCCAATCCCACATTTGGACTGGAATATATGGCACTGTGGTCAGATAACCCAGGCCCCATCAACACAGCTTATAAAATCCACATAGAACTGGATTATATGGCAGTGTGGACTCTGGTAATCCAGTTCAAAGTAGATATTGTGGGATGTTTTACTTTGATATTCTGGTTTATCGGAGTCCACACTGTCATATAATCAGGTTCAATATGGATTTTATACAGCTGTGTGGAAGGGCCCTTTGTTTAATCCTTGCAGTTGGCAGACTACAGTTTGTAGAAAGAATAGCTGGATCCAAATCAGCAGCATAAGGAAATACTGAATAAATTTTGAGTGCTGGCATCTCACCAAACTCTTGGAAACTTCTTTGAGTTTTCACGGGAGATAGAGTGGGATATAAATAAAGTTTATTATTATTATTTATTTGTGTAATCCTTGCAGTTGACTTACAGTTTGATGGCTTTGCAGTCTGTAGAAAGGATCGTTGCATCTAAATCTGCACCATAAGGAAACACTGAGCATTAGGAAGAACTTCCTGACCATACGAGCTTTTCAACAACGGAACTCTTCTGCTTCAGAGTATGGTAGAAGCTCCTTCCTAGGAAACTTCTAAACTGAGGCTGGATGGCCACCTGTCATGGATACTTTGTGTTTTCCTGAATTTCAGGGGGTTAGACTAGATGGCCCATGTGGTCTCTTCCAACTCTATGATTCTACTGAATTAGTTTTGAGTGCCAGTGCCTCACCAAGCTGCAGCTCCAAGGACCCCATAGTGTCGAGTCCATGCAGCTCAAGCCCTGTCCAACAAGCACTTGTAACTTAACTCTTGAACTATTGGGTGGCACCAAAACAACTTCCTCACCCCCATATTTAACTGCCAAAATGGAAGGGCATAAGGTTGGAGTAACCATGGGTTGCATCTACACCAGGCATAGGCAAACTTTAACCCTCCAGGTGTTTTGGACTGCTGGAGGGCCAAAATTTGCAGCCATATAACCCAGAATATCAAAGCAGATAATCTACAATATCTGCTTTGAACTGAGTTATCAGTTCAATGTGGATTTTATACAGCCTTGTGGAAGGGCCCTTCATGTAATTCCTCACAGTTGACAGACGTTACAATTTAATGGCTCTGCAGTCTGTAGAAAGAATAGCTGGATCTAAATCTGCAACGTAAAGAAATACTAAACGTTAGGAAGAACTTCTTGAACATTAGGAAGAAATTCCTTGCTGTAGGAGCTGTTCAACAACGGAACTCTCTGCCTCACAGTGTGGTGGAAACTCCTTCCTTTTAAACAGACTCTGCATGCAGTTGGGTTGCATGCAGTTTTTGGCCCCACTTGATCTGTCATGGCTCAATGCTAAGGAACCATGGGAGTTGTAAGTTTGCTGAGGCAACAGCATTTCTACGCAAGAAGCAGCTAAAGACCTGGACTTTGGTGTGTTCAACAGTGGGCATTGTAGTTTTGCAAGGTCATTTTGATTTCTCTGACCAAGAGTGCTGGTGCCTTCTCACCAAACTGCAACTCTCATGTTCCCATAGCATTGAGTCTCTGGCAGTTCAAGTCTGTCAAACAAGGGTGTGCAACTTAATTGTTAAACTTTTGAATGGCAGTAAAACAACTTCTTTGGCCATTGAAATGGTCGGGAAGAGGTTGGAGGACCCATTGCTGCTTCATTCTACACTGTAGAATGGATGCCCATCAGCTCCACTTTAACTACCATGGCTCAAGGCTAGAAAACTGGGAATGGTAGTTTGGTGAAGCACCAGCATTCTGTGGCAGGGGAGACTAAAGACCTTGTAAAACTACAGATCCCATAGCATTAAGGCACTGTAAAGTGGCATCAAACTGCATTCATTCTATATTCTACTAGAGGTACCTCCAGACTGTTGGATTCAGTGGGTATTGCTGTTTGGAAGAAAACTGTGGCAGCAGGTCTCTGTGGGAGGTATCTTGTTGAACTCATCAGGGATTGTAAGTAGAAGCCCTGAGGATCCTCACAACAGGGGAGAAGCTTTAGTCTAAAGGTGCTTCTGTGGTGGAATCTGAGGATCCTCAGTGCAAGTTGTTGTAAGCATTATGTACCTCTTGTTGCACGTGTAGTTCTGAGTAGGCATTATCTTCTGTTCCATGTGCCATTCTTCGTTCATACATTTGTACCCTTTGAGGAGGGCATCACCCTTAGCTGATTGCATGGAAGAACCATTCCAGGGCAATTGCTCCATATGGGCTGAACTACAGAGCTACTGAACGAAACAAATCTATTCAGTGAGGTAGGAGTCTGTGTTTCGTAACCAAGCCAGCTTCATTATGAGTGAGCTTGTTTGAACCAGTCTGCCAAGAACCTGCCTTGGTAGCTTTGAAAAGCTTTTCAGTGAAAGTATGCACATCGGACATGGAGTTCACGCTTCTGCAGGCATTCCAGTCATGAAGTCATTTTGTGGGCTCTTTTTATCTTTTCAGAGTTGGCTAAGCAAACATCCTAAAGGTTAAATGGAGATTCTAGGTGAGTGAAGGATTATGATGGTTATTACGGATAGCTTAATGAAAAGGCTTTTGTGGAAGGTGACCTAGAGAGTCGGTGCACTCTAGGAGATCGGCTTTCTCTCATTCTTGGTTTTACAAAGAAATAGATAAATATGTATCCTTTTGTCTGTAAATGGCTGCAGTTGCCAAAAGTTAGAATTTTTAGGAGCTGTACCAGAAAGAGGAAAACATTAAATGCACTCCATAGCAATAGACTTCTTAGTTCAAAATAGCTCTAAGAGAAAAGTGGTGAAATGCTGTCAGTTTTCTAACAAGCAGTGAAAGTATCTTAAGTTTCAGAAAAAAAATCTAAAAATACAAAAATGTTCTTTTCTTCTAAAATATGGGTGCAGTTTTTGGGTGGGTGAGTAAGTAGGCATCAGTAATTTGCTATTTTACAAAAACTGTAAACGTTTTTAGGGTAATCTTTGTTAGGGCTAGTAGCCAGCACATGATGCATCTTCTTTTAAAAAGGGACTTAGCTTTACTCTCTTCAAGTATTACTGAGACAATTCATAAGAGACTAGAGTTAGTTGCATAAGCAGATGGGGGCGTGGAAATGGAAAAGGTTGTATAATGCCAGTGACATTGGACTTGAGCGTGTTGGGCCTTTAAAACATTGCTGAGGGAAATGCAGGGTATGATGAGTTCAAGGGATACAATTAGCCTAATATTTTGTGAGCTCTTTTTATTATACTCCTTATTGAGTCATTGTAGTGGTGAAAGAGCCTAAGGATTCCGACATAATAATAATGGATCTTGTTGAGAAGCCTTTCAGACTCTTCTGGTGTGATTGTTATGCTTCTCAGTTGTTCACGTCATATTTTGCACTACATTCTCAGTCCCCTCATTTTTGGTGGGCATTCGTAATGTTTTTATTTTGCACTTTTGATTCTGACATTTTACCTTTTATACTTAAAGGCAAATGTGTGGCTGTAAGCAAATTAAGCCATTAGTCTCTCTAGTTTCAGACTCGAAAGCATAATCCAAGGGTTTTTTTTGTAATCGCAATTACAGTATCTGCATGGGGCGGCTTATCACTGAAAGCTTAAGTAGTACTTTCAAAGAATTGGAAAACTGACTCTTCTTTGCACATACTGGCTGTTAAGCATTAGAACACACAATTGTTTCTAATCTTGTGGCATATTGTGTACCTAAAGAAGAATGCTTACTGAAAACAGATTTTTTTTGCTGCGAGATGGAGACCTGCTTGATGTAGAGATGTATATGTACTATGCAATACATTTTAGTAGCAAAAAAACAAGAACTTCAAGGCTTGCTGTGGGCTTTAGACTCTCAGTAGCCTAGCCCATTAAGTAAAACCTGAGATTAGCAAGTTGATTAGTTGTGTCATATTTATGGTTTCAAATTCAGTCAATAACCATCACAAGAAGCAGCCTGAGTGAAGTTTGGGACATCCATCATAATGGAGCCAGAATGGATTTCAGTTGAGTTTGTTTCAGTTACATTTGGTGGGTGGGGTGTCTTTACATAAGTCAGAGTTTCTCAAACTGCGCCTCCAGATGTTTTGGGCTTCCTAACAGCTGGTAAGATGGCTGGGATTTTTGGGAGCTGAAGTCCAAAACACTTGGAGGAGCACAGATTGAGAAACACTGATATAAGTTAACAGTCATAGTATGTTACATCAGGTGTGTATAGGAACTAAGTAGAAAGTATTTCTAATGGTCAGCTATCAGCATGAATTAGTGTTACAAACTGGACTACCTGTCCTCTTCCCCCCCCCCCAAAAAAACCCCACTTGGTATCCTTCTGATGTGTAATATTGTAGTTCCTATCATGCTCTAACATACCTGGAGGGCACCAAGTTTTGGTCTAAGCTAGTCATGTTGATATCTTAAGCTTAACTGAGTTGAATAACTACATTGTTTTGTAGAACATAACTTTATTTTTGAGATTTTAGTAACCCTGTTGTCTATTTATAGTGAAGTCCTTGTGACAACCAAATACTTCATGTGCATTTACAGGGAACTAGCTGACATCTGATTTTTTTTTTTTTAACTTTGATGCAAATACCAGATTTGGTCCCTTTGGGAATGGGAAAATTAGATTTTATTTGTAGTATGAAATAGTATGCAAAGCGATAGGCATCTTAAACTGGCGGCATTTATTCTACTTGGTATTTGTGCATTAAAATTCTATATTAAAATCAAAATGTGAATACTATTTGCCAGCACTGAGCTGGGCAACATCTGCCGGACCAAGAGTCAACATGGCCCAGTGGCCTAAAGGGAAATAGGTGGACCTTAGTAGAATTATTTTTTTGATTGTCAAAAGTAGATATAAGCTATAAGTAAATATGAAAAATACATATTTTACTGGATATAGAATACATTTTCATACATAGTATGACCCACATTAATTCCAGAGGGATACCTTCCAAGACCACAGGTGGATTCCTGAAACCATAGATAATAGTGAACCCTCCTACATGTATGTGTGTATGTGCGAGCGCACACGCACACACGTGTAAGTGTGTATATATATACATATATTATTTATATCCCTTTTTTCTCTTCACAAGGAGACTCAAAGTGACTTGACTGTACTTGGAACAGAACCACATGGAAACACTTCTGGGGGTAGAGTGGGGATATTTTTGGAGCGTGAGTAAATGAAACCACAAATATTTAATCTGAAAAAGGTGGTTACATTGTAACAAGTACTGGAAAGTAAAATACCCCCAAGATTAATAGAGTTTCTCAAACTGTGCTTCTCCAGATGTTTTGGACTTCAGCTCCCACTGTTCCTAACAGCTGGTAAACTGGCTTGGATTTCTGGGAACTGAAGTCCAAAACATCTGGAGGATAAAAGGATAAAAAGGCCGAGTTAAAACAATTCACTTTCATCTCTGCCAACCCTGCAGCCATAACAAGTCAGGAAAAAAGACCCATACAAATCACAGCCAGAGATCTTGTGGACCAGTGCAGCATTCCTGCTGATGCAGCCTTGATAAGAGCAGAAAGAGGGTCAAAGGAGGGCAGCCAGTGCTTATAAAACCTCTGGCACCACCCTCCCCATGTGACCTGAATTAGCAGCACACACCCCAGGATTTTAACTATCCAGGGAGGGCATCACAGGTGTTCTCTTGTCCACAACAGTTACGGCTGCGCAGTCTTGGATGCAGATTATTTTGTTTTGATCGTTGTTCTAATCCTGCATCTTGGATTTGGAACATATCCAGTGTTTGTATCAACAATTCCTGTGATGTTTTCTGTGTACTGTAATTTCCTTAATCTTCATCTGAGATCCAGTTTTTGCAAGGATTGTTAGAGGCACCAGATCTGAGTCTTTATTTGGTTAGTATTTGGGTGGAAAACCAAGGGTCAGGCTAAGTGAACTCAGGGGGTGTACATTTCCCACCCCTTGTTCATACCAAAACTGCAACTCACTTCCCTCATTGTCTCACACCTCACTTAACTGCACAGACACACTCAGAGGGCTATGCATTGTGGGTGAGACTCACTTATTCAACTTTCTGGAAAATGTTGTCAATTTTAATTACTGTAAATGTAGGTAATATAATTGAGTCCTGTATGTAGCTAACCAATTTTAGCTAATTGTGTTATTAATGGTATCAACAGCTTGGGTTTACTCTTACCGAGCTTTTTGCTGCTTGAGGGTATTTTTACTCTCCTTGTGAATGTGTAAGTAAGGTTTGTGCTTCAGATATATCTTAGAACACATTAAGTGATGCAATGTATATATGAAAGTTGTATGCTGAAGTGTTTTTGGTGTTTTTGCTTTTAGATCCTAGTGATTTGATGTTACAAGTTTATAGAGCTGAATCCTATGTGGGTCTCCAAGATAATAAATCTGCCCTAGATGACCTGAATGCTGTTACTGCTAAAATGCCAAAATGGCCAGAGGTAAATGTAAATCCATAATATATTTGCATTATAAAATATGTAAAAATGATGCTAGGAAGGTGGATCTAGATGGCTTCTATACCCAATCTCATCACGTTACGAGCAATGCTTTCAAAAGTGAATGGGTGTTTTTAGCAGTCATATCACAATTCCTGTTCTGCTTTTGACTGCTTTGGCAAGCACAACTGTTCAGCAGTTGGATGTTTGGTTCAACAGGCCTGTTTCCATCAAATGCACAATGAACCACATGCATATGTGCACACTCTTCTGGTTCTGAAAAAGTTTGGGCATGGTTTAACGTTATGGACAAGTTGTGAAATGCCATATGAAGTGAGTTAACTGGATTAGTCTATTTTTGGTCTCTCCCTTTCCCCTCCTCCTCCTTTTTTTTTTTTTTTTGAAGGGGCAGGGAGGAGCTACAGCACTTAACTGACTAAAATAAAGCTGCTTAGTATGGTACAAATAGTCACATTTCATCAATAATTGTAAACCAAGCACCATAAGCATATAAAGTAATGGTAGAAAGTTCTGAAATAATGGACTGAGGAACATGTTCTTATACTGTCTTCTTTGTGCTGTTTATTCCTTTTTTGTGTTGTGTAGGAAGTAGTGATGGTAGAATATAAGGTGTTCCTTTTTCTTTTGACTATTTAATTCCATCAGAATACCCACTTTCTGATACGATTCAGCCAATAGCATAAATCCCAAGTTTTTGTATTCCAGTTCTGAGAGCATTATTTGGAAGTGCTTTCCACTTATCTAACTGTGCCCCCTTCCACGCTACCATATAATACAGATAATCAAAGCACATTATCTGCTTTGAACTCAATTATATAAGTCTACACTGCCATATAATCCAGTTCAAAGTAGATAATATGGATATTATATGTCAGTGTACAAGGGGCCTGAGAATTTATAGAAAGATAGCTGATAAATTTCAACCAAATAGTACTGCTTTAAAGATCCCTATGGGAAGAAAGTTATAATGTACATGCTTAGAATCATAAATGTCAGCTTTTATGTGGTACTGATGAAATAATTAGCATATTTTATGCCTAATTAAAATAGAACCTCTTTTTCAGGCCTGTTACAGAAGAGCGAAAGTACTCCATAATGCTGGCTCAATAGATGATGCCTTACAGATGTTTCTTCACTGCTTAGCACTTGATGAAGGATTTCTTCCAGCAAAGCTAGAAGTGGAGAAGGTATTTATTATGAAGAGAATCCAAATATTGTTTTGTTTTGATTTACTTCTGTGGTTTTCATGTTTGTTTACTTCCAGTAATAAACATAGGTTATCAAAATTGAGTTAGAAAACAAAAGTTGTGTAACAGTTTTTCAGAGATCTAAAATCTGAACTTTAAATTGAAAAACAGTTGGTTAAGCATGATTTGAGAATAACAGATTGTATCCAAATAAATGACTTCAAGCTTTTATTAAATAAGGATGGAATATAGACTGGGACACCTTACGTGTGCAGATGTGGTGCTTTTTTAGGTGCTACAAAGGTTAATACTTCCATTTTCTCCAAGCAGTGCTCAAAGCCCCTTTCCTGACTTTCTTTAAATCCTCAAAGTCACATCATACAGGCATTTCATACTTCAACATGAACAGGTAGGATCGGATAAATGTCAATTTCCACTCCCTTCTCCCTCTGGATGCATAATGATTACAGAAACTCTGAGCCTTCCAAAGAATCCTCACAATCTTCAGCATTGATGTTATTGTGCATCCAGTCATGGGGTATGTATCTAGACTTTTTCCTATCCTGCCCACTCACATTGGAGCCCAGAATGCCTGTGTGAGATGGTTTTGGGGCTTTAAATTAAGTCAAGGGGTATTGTATGTGGATCAGTGTAGTGTACCATCTGGAGAGTTTTATAATATGTTCTGTTGAATTAAGAACTAAATGTTTTAAGTGATAAGATAGTTACGAAAAGATAGTGAGAAGGTCATTATGTAGAGAAGCAGTGAAGTGATAGATTTGCTACCTTTTCTGAAGGAGAAACATCGAAAAACATTTGCAGGAGTGGACTGCATTAAAGACCATCTAATATAATAACACTGGGTAGAATATAATATTTGTCTTGTGTTTGGGATATTAATTGTATTCACCTCTGCAAATATAAATTTGTGTGTAGGTTGAAAATTAGCAGCGGTAACCTTTGGCAGAAATTGAGACTTCTTTATGTATATAAGAGACTTAATGCTTAAAGCCGATCTTTGAATACATCTCAATTAGCTAATCTTGGGTATGAAAACCATATTGAGTAAACATATTACTGGGCTGTATATCAATGAGGAACTGAAAAAGCTTCACTTAACTAAATGTTAGTCATAGTTGCATCTAATTCCTAAATGTTTTTAATTTTACAGATGCTGTATGACTTACTATCACCAGAAAATGTGCAAAAGAGTCTGAAGGAATCTACTTTGAATTCCTCACACGTTCGAGGTAAACAATTCATACGTGATTCTGAATCTGAAACTGAAGAGTCTTATGATAATTTACAGCACACTTCAATGACAGTAAGTAATGAGTATTTTTATACTTCCAATTATCCTATGTCATTTTACTCATGTTGCTTCTCTCCTTCTATTTAGATATGATAGATTCAAAAATATTACATGGCTGTCAGAAATGTGGAAAGAATGTAGTGCAACTTTCTGCACTGGGAAAGGATTTTTCTTGGGATTGAACATTTCCCAGTTTGAACAATGATTGTTTTTAACAAGTAACTTGCGAAGGAATTGCTTATATGTCGCGAGAATAACATTATAAGGAGATAAAAATTGTGTATACTAATGAAAACTGTCCAACTTTATTGTAATAGAAAAAAGAATTTAAAAAATTGGAATGATATTATTAAAAACTCCTTTCTGGGTATTATAAAAAATTCCTTCCTGAAAATTGGAATGATATTATAAAAAACTCCTTCCTGAATTACTTTTAAAGGCTTTCCCTTTAATATCACAAACTGAAAATGGAATTGCCAGATTAATGAATTCTTTTGCAGTACACATTAAGAAAACAATGGAGAAAATGCATCGAAAATTAGTTTAGCGCCCTACATTCCTAAGATCCTAAACATTTGTGTTTCAGTGTTGCAGAGCACTGTATAATGTGACACTAAGGAGTATCTATCAGGGGTTTTCCTAGAAGTATTTGTTGAGAGAGGGTTTGCTTTGTCCTTTCTCTGAGCCTGAGAGAGTGACTTGCCCAGAGTCATTCAGCGTGGATTTGAACCCTTGTCTCCATTGTAATCCAATGGTCAAACCACTACACCATGGAGAAGTAAACCATACAATTAATTTTTCAATGAATGCTTTATTGGAGTCAGGGCAGTTTCCTGTCCAGGAAACTTTGACAAGGAGGGCTTACTTAGGGGATTGTGAAGCCGCTGAAAGAATATTAATTACTACTTCACTATATGGAATTGTATAAAATAGATTTCATGTTGTTTATCCTTTTCTTTGCATTGTTTTCTGATAGGATTTAGAAGTTACACCAGAATCTGTTGGAGGAAGTTTGCATCGTACACAATCTGCCCATTCCCTTAACTCAGCTGAAAAAATGGCCAAAGATGATGGATTAAAAAGGGTTTCTTCAGAGCCTCTGCTTTCTTGCCAAGAGAAAGGTGTTTTATTAAAAAGGAAGTTGTCTCTCTCAGAGCAAGACTTCACTGTTTGTGAAGATGGCAGGAATAAACATAAAAAACAAGGAGGTAAATATTCACTAATTCCTGTGGTTTTTTGATCTATACAGTGTTTTATGTTTTTTATAGTACTCTCTTTTGTTTTTTAGAAAATACGAAAAGGGATGCTGCCTTTTCATTCATCTATGAAGCAATCCCAGAGGAATTGATTGATGTGTCAGACTTTGAGTGTTCACTGTGTATGAGGTAATGCAGGGGTCTTTTATGTTTATTTTTATCATTGTCCTTTACTGATTTATGGGAGCTTTTTATATTTGGAGCCTTTTGCTTCCATTTGAAAATGATTCCATGCTGTTGAAGGGGCAAGCATAATTTTTGCAGATCTCTCCATATGTGTGAAGATCTTGTTGTCTAGGTAGCATGCATGGCAGTTCTGTATCAAGCGTGGGAATTATGCCGCACTCTTGATGGAGTCCCAGCACAGCCAAAGGTGCAGAGTGCTTGGACATGCTTTCCAACATCCTCAGGGACACCATATACTTTTGTCATGCATGGTTGGAAGATTTACCAAGGTTGTTCCTACCATGGTAATGAGGTTCATGATGCTATGGCAAGTTTAAGTGGCTGCATCATTTCACTTGTTTCAAGTCTTTATCCTAAGTGAAAGCCATTTCAAACCTAACTAGAAATTATTTTTTAAACTTAGTATCCAACTTTACTAGTTGTCATTTGCATGCAGCCTGTATTGGTCCTCCAAAAAAGTATTATTCAAAGTGGTTGTTGTGTGTTAGTTTATGGTTGTTAAGAAGGTCGTTGTTGTAACTAGCCCCTGCATTTAATTTCTTCTGCCAACATTGTTTGCAGTGTCATCTTCTTCTATGTACACAATATATACCAGAATGTGCTTGACATTCTGGGAAGCACTTATTGCAGTTCCTAAAACCATTTTAGTTGACAAAAGCTTGCTCTTGTTGTATGTTAGTCTTTAAGTTGCAGTGTTATTTTTTGTTTTTACTATGACAGCCAGGTTTTGCATAGAAGCTTTCAAACTCGTCAAAAGCTGGCATTTTAGAGAGGAATAGAAAGATACTGAGTAAAACTAGGTCAGACAGATCATCTTGACATATGTTATACGGGTATCTGAAGAACACTGGGGAATAATTGGGTTTCTGGTAATATTCCACTGAGTACTAAAATTTATAGTCTTGGGATTTGCTTGGTTGCATAAAATATGGAATCATTAATAAATGCTAGTACTGCTTTGTTGGCATCAAGCTTTGGTTATCCTCTAGTTCACTCTAATTAGAAAATGAGTGGTGTAGTTTGCTTAAAGTGATATCCCGAAATTATATTTCAGACTCTTCCTTCATCCTGTGACAACACCATGTGGCCATACTTTCTGTAGGAATTGTTTAGAACGTTGCTTAGACTATGCTCCTCAGTGCCCTCTTTGTAAAGAAAGCTTAAAAGAGGTAATGTGTTCAATCAATGTTTGGCTGGGGGCGGGGGGCGGGAGAGAGGAGAGAATATTTTGTGTTAAAGTTTAATTTTTTAAATCCCTTTAGTTGAAACTTGATTTTTCTGGAATGTATGGAAACAGTTTTTCAGATAGCCCATTACAGAAGCTGGTTAAAATGTGATAGTTAAGAACTCAAGAATATCACAATCAATTTAAGTTGAGATTGATCAATAGGATTTAGGACATATTGTTTCTTATTATTGGATAATCTTCCTTTTAGGTACAGAACGTTCAGGATTAACAACCTTATTGTATTGAAAATCTGACAATTTCATCAAGTAGCCCAAATTATATTCCATCTTATTTATTATGACTTGTTTTATATTTTGTGATTTTAAATTGTTTGACTTGTTATGTTTTTTATTATTACTTATGCTATTCATTTGTTGTAGGCTGCACCAAGTCCCTTTGGGAGATTGGGCGGGATATAAATAAAGCTTCATTAATTCATTTTATGTTTGTAAACAACCTTGACTTTGATTTTTTATGACAGAAAGACAATAGTAATTGGAAGATTTAAATACCCCATTCTGGCAAAAGTACATGCATAAATACCCTACCTTCTAACGAACACACAGTCTGTGTTGTTGGATCCTGCCATGTAGTCGCTCACCCCAAATTCTTGCACAGTGTCTTCTCCCAGCAGCAACCAGAGAACAAGCATGAAGCATCTCTTTGTTCTTGAAAGCTGCTGCTGACCCTTTCTCAGAAACAGCCTTAGTCTCTTTGCAAGAAGCCAAAGGGTTTCTTTTAAAACAAAAAGGCCACAGGAGAGCTTTGTCACTTCTGGATGGTGCAATTAACCTATGCAGGCAGGAAGAGACACAAATGCTCTTAATATGCTATTGCTAGCTTGTCACAAGGAGAGGAGTTGGTAATAGGTATAAACTTAGAGTCATCACATTTTTATTTGATCGGTCTGCTTATATTCTAGATCTAGAAAAATTCAGTTGAAAGGTTTGGTAGGTTTAGGTTTCATTTTTAATAAATCTGCTTGGGATTGGAATTTGTATCAAAGAGAAACTAAGATCACTTTGTTGGGGGTTTTTTTTTTAGCTTGATTTGCTGAAATCACATTAAGATGGTATGAAACGTGAAATCTGAGCAGCTTAATTATTGTAGTAAATGTATAATATCTTAACATTTTAATCTCATTATTTTTAGTATCTGGCAAGTAGAATATATAGCACCACACAGTTGTTGGAAGAACTAATAATGAAGTATATGCCTGCTGAACTAGCAGATAGAAAAAGAATTCATGATGAAGAAATATCTGAACATGCAAGGCAAGTTTTATATGTGTGTATGTACTATTTTTTACTTTGTGCACCAAACACTTAACATACTGTTGTGTGCCCATTTTCAATTTTAAAAAGGGAGATGAGGAGCAAAGTTTAAAAAAAATTTCCCCCAGTTTACCAAATCAGTTATGGTATTACACTAACTCATTAACTGTTACAAGCTATAAAATGAACTGAGGGTTTTCTCTGATGCGTTTGAATCTTGTAAATGGTATTTTTCAAGCACACTTTTCCTCATCTTCTTTAAAGAAACCCAAACTAGGATGCAGTACGTTTTCTCTTATTACTATGATGGTTTGATAAAGGTATTCACAGAACTTCATAGTAACGTAACAATTTCAGTTTAGGTTTTCTTTTTAAATCCAGCTCTGCTATAATTGTATATACATAAAGGGGTGAGGATTTAATAATAAAGAGCAGAAAATATGGCACAACATACCATGTTTGCTGGTCATATTTACACACCTTGTTGTTATTTGTTTGTGGAAAATGTTGATCTACAGACAGAAGTTTGCTGTCTCAGCAGTATTATTGTGGCCTCAGCACTGAAGCATAAACATACTAGCTTGTATATTAAAAAATAGGAAATGTTGTTTCATTACAGTACAATTGGAAATGTAGTCAAATCTTATGTATGTAATCAAAATGAAATGTACAGCTTTCCCCCTCTCCCAAAAAATATTAATTTTTGCAGTTGTGTAAATTGTTAAGAATCAGGATAAAAACAAAGGAAAATATTTCTGTAAACAGCGATCTTTCACTTGCTCAACTTCATAATACTGAAATAATATTTTCAATATTAATTCCCTTTCTTTCAAATGCTTTAGGGTTGTTATCCTTTCATGTTGTTAAAGATAAATTCATGGGAGTGCACTCAAAATTATTATAGTTTAATTGTAGAAAAGCATGATGTGTGTTTACATCATCTTTTCCCCCCTGGGAAAGATAGGGCAGGTTACAAGTAGAGTTTATTATTTCATCCTGACACAGCAAGACTTTGGTTGATTTTTTTGAATGGTGATTCATTCACTTTTAAGAATAGACAAGCAAAGTTGTTTAGTGATGTGCAAAGACTGTGAAGGAAAAGTCTGTGAAGGCAGACTTCCTCCTTAAGTTATAATTCTACCTGAGCAGGAAGATGTAACTTTTAACCTAACACCATAATCTTATTTTGTGTTTTGTCTTCAGTTTAACCAAGAATGTTCCAATATTTGTTTGTACTATGGCCTACCCTACTGTGCCTTGCCCCCTCCATGTGTTTGAACCAAGATACCGTCTGATGATTCGAAGAAGTATAGAAACAGAGACAAAACAATTTGGGATGTGTATCAGCGACCCTCAAAATGGGTATGTCTCTATTTCCTGTAAAAGTTTTCAAAATGTATCTAATACAGTGGTTGACACAGTGGCCTTTCTTTTAGCTTTGCAGGTTATGGCTGCATGCTGTACATTAGAAATCTTGATTATTTGCCAGATGGGCGATCTGTTGTAGATACAGTTGGATTAAAGAGATTTAGAGTACTTCGAAGAGGGATGAAGGATGGCTACCATACTGCAGACATTGAGTATTTGGAAGATATAAAGGTACTGAGACTTTTCTTTTAAGACTTAAATAGCAGATACAAGTTTTAACAGTGTATCTTGGTTGTAACATCTCGGTGTTCATGTGACATTAATTTCCCTTGAATTTTGAAAGTTTATTTTGTGGAATTGCAGTTGCTAAGTGCTGTCATGTCAACTTCATCTTATGGCAACCTTATGAATAAGAGACCTCCAAGTCATTCTATCATCAATTGTTGTTGTTGTTCATTTGTTCAGTCGTCTCCGACTCTTCGTGACCTCATGGACCAGCCCACGCCGGAGCTCCCTGTCGGCCGTCACCACCCCAGCTCCTTCAAGGTCAGTCTAGTCACCTCAAGGATGCCATCCATCCATCTTGCCCTTGGTCGGCCCCTCTTCCTTTTGCCTTCCACTTTCCCCAGCATAATTGTCTTCTCTAGGCTTTGCTGTCTCCTCATGATGTGGCCAAAGTACTTCAACTTTGTCTCTAGTATCCTTCCCTCCACTGAGCAGTCGGGCTTTATTTCCTGGAGGATGGACTGGTTGGATCTTCTCGCAGTCCAAGGCACTCTCAGAACTTTCCTCCAGCACCACAGCTCAAAAGCATCTATCTTCCTTCGCTCAGCCTTCCCTAAGGTCCAGCTCTCACATCCGTAGGTTACTACAGGGAATACCATGGCTTTGACTAGGCGGATCTTTGTTGCCAGTGTGATATCTCTACTCTTTACTATTTTATCGAGATTGGACATTGCTCTCCTCCCAAGAAGTAAGCGTCTTCTGATTTCCTGGCCACAGTCTGCATCTGCAGTCATCTTTGCACCTAGAAATACAAAGTCTGTCACGGCCTCCACGTTTTCTCCCTCTATTTCCCAGTTGTCAATCATTCTTGTCCTTGATTAAATTCATCCATCTAAAATGCAATTTTCCTCTTTCCTTCTTCTGTCTACTTTACCAAGCATCATTATTTTTTCTACTGAGTCATGACTCCTCACGATATGTCCAAATATAGCATTGATAATCCCACAGGCAGCATGGCTATTGGATTCTGGAGTTGTAATGTTAAAAAATGACTCATTCAGTTGCACACCTCTACATGTGTTTTTAACTTTCCTTTGTTTTTTTCAAAGTGAGTAGCAAGGAGAAAGTGTACTACTTGCAGTGGACAGAAATAGATGTGAATTTTAAACAAAGATTCATTTGAAACAATATTGTAAACAAATTCTGAGAAGATATTTGGACAATGTTTCAGGCTTGACTTGAATGTTGAATAAAATTTGGCCTTCAGTACTTCCCTGATTGTTTTGTACACACATTTATTGAACACACTGCACCTCAGTGGCTATAATAAAGACAATTCCTTTATTGTTAGACTGTGTGTGCAGGAAGTAGTGTGTACTAGAGCCATCTTGTCCTAATTCTACCATGTGTGGTTTAAGTTAATGTGTTTCTGAATCCTCTTTTTGTATATTATTATGATGTCATGTGATTCCCTTCACTTATTATGATGATGTCATGTGATTCTCTTCATGTATAGGTTGAAAATGACCGTGAGATGAAGAAACTTGGAGAGCTTCATGATTTTGTATATAGTCAAGCTTGCAACTGGTTCCAAAGTTTAAGAAACAAATTTCGTAGTCAAATACTTCAGCACTTTGGTCCAATGCCTGAGAGAGAAGAAAACATACAGGTATCTAAGTTATGTATTACAGTTACTGTAAATTTGATCTAGGTTCCTTGATAGTGGCTGAGCAGCGACAGGAAGAAGCCTGCTGTTCATTGATGTAATTGTATCAAAGAAAACTCTTTTTATCATAGCCATTCAAGTCGATATTAGAAACTCCAGGTTTAGAATAGTACTGAAAAGCTATCCATAGCCTGGGTATTAGACAAAATGTGGATTGTGTTGTCGAAAGCTTTCATGGCTGGAATTACTGGGTTGCTGTGATACTTTTCAGGCTGCATTGCCATATTCCAGTAGCATTTTCTCCTGATGTTTCACCTGCATCTGTGGCAAGTGTCCTCTGAGGAAGCTTGCCACAGATGCAGGTGAAACATCAGGAGAAAATGTTACTTGAACATGGCCATACAGCCCAAAAAAACTCACAGCAACCCAAAATGTGGATTCTTTTTAAGGAACTCCCTTTTCATCCAATTTTCACTGAAATTAAAGATTGAGACAGCTGTATGTATATTTGGTGGAGAAAACCTATTCTTTTGATACTTCTAAACCTTTTGTCAAAATTATTTTTTCTGGTGGATACCAAATATAACACTTCTTCTTCTTTGTTTTAAGGAGACGGCTAATGGACCTGCTTGGTGTTGGTGGCTTCTGGCTGTCCTTCCTGTAGACCCTAGATACCAGCTGACAGTTCTCTCTATGAAATCTTTGAAAGAACGTCTGTTAAAAATTCAAGACATACTGACATACTTTTCTAGAGATCAGTCCAAATGACTAATAGCCTGGATATTACTAAAACTTTGCCCTTTTCTATCTGTAACTGCAGTTGGGGGTTTTGCAGCATTTGCACTTTTAGCGCTGGTTTGAGAACTTATCAGAACTGCTTTTCCTGTTTTCCTGAATCAGTAGTTCATCACATGGATACCTTCAGTGTGAAGGATACCACTAAATTTGCACACAGAAAAACAATCCAGCAACAAAATTTGTGGAAATTTCTACCTTATTTGCACTATGTACAAGTGAGAATGTATAATCCTAAGAGCTCAGTATTTCCACATTACAACTTCAAAATGGTGGAAAATATAGGATCTAAACTATCAGTCCGGGTTTACAATTTTAAAGATACACATTCTAAATCTTGCAAATCAGAACTTGCCTCAGATACAACCCTGTTGCTATTTGCACAATTGTTCTAAAATGTAGTATTGGATGTTGCTCTAGCAACCTTCTGTTTTGTGGGTGTCTTATCTTAAATAATGGCACAAGATATTTTCTTGCATACGTCATAATAAAAACGATTGTATGAATTTAGAGCCATGTTAAAGAACAACAAAGAAGAGTGTTCAAAAGCTGTTAAAACTGTGAACATGTTGCCTATAGCTGTGCATTGAGAGACTGGTTTTGGATCCATGACAGCAGAGTACAGAAAGTAGTCTCTCCAGTACACAATAAGATAACCAAAAGAAAAATAAAGCTGAATGTACTAAAAGTTGAACACACCAGTGATTGCTAAGCATTTGTGTATATGCCTAGACACAAACTTGTGAATTTGAAAATGCAGCTGTGTACTATTTCTTACAGCTCTATAAATCAGCTGTGGCTCACTCACCATACCCTTCCAAAACACAGGTGTGAGAGTTTGAGAACTACTGAACATTAGTACAAAAGTCCTACTAGTCATTGAAGAGTCTGAAAGTGTTTGGTGCATATAGGACTTCCATGCCTTATTCATATCAATATTACACTGCAATGCAAAGGTTAGCACTCTGCTTGCCAATAGTTACTTTTCTGGTTTTCCATTTGTGAATGTCTATCTTGTATGTGAATCTTTTTGTAACATATTTCTTTACAAATCTTGCTTTTGCTAATATTTAATTTTCAATAAACCTAAAGCTTATATATTTTTAAATGTATGTCCCCTTTTTCTTACTGTTGGAAAGTATCTGCTCCTAGAGCATAATTACAAGCATTGCAACTGGCATAGTAGAACATCTTATCAGTTGAGATCAATTGACAGCAAGACTATGGGCCATAGTAGTTGATCACTGGCTTCAAAAATATTTAAATATGGGAACTGCTGGTCACAGACTTAAAAGTGGAAACCTAGTTTGTTTTTAAATCCAATTTAGTGTGGAGATATTGGCATTTGATAGAGATACTTTTCTGTGAGTAAATATTAATCATTGTTTTGAAGAATAGAAAAGTACTGAAATGTTTAGGCTGTTTCACAGAACTAAGTAACTATGTAGACTAAGTTTTTCAACCCTATCCATTTAGATATTTCCTTTGACGCTAGAATTAGGAACTACTTGAGTTCTAGTGAGATATTCCTGCATAGTTGCCTAATGAAATGCATGCTGAGTTATGAGAGGTGTTCATTAAAGATTTACCCTGACCCACTTCTATATATCACAGGACGCAGAAACTGCACGTGTGATGATATCTCTGTAGGTTCCATGCTAATTTACAACTCAGAACTGATAACGGTCTTGATTTTACAGGTGCTGAAGTGGTGTGAGGTTTGGTAATGGACCCAGTAGAATACACTACAGAGCAGTCATCAAGTTCCTTTACTTGAAAGGTCGCACACCAAAGGAGACATTCGATGAAAGAGGTTTATGGTTATGATTCCCTATCATATGATGTAGTCAAGAACTGGCATTGTCAATTCAAATGTGATCGGACTTTGGTGCAAACAGCTCCAATTCCAAGATGATCTGCTTTAGATGAACACATCATCCTGCAAGTGGAGGTTGCCATTTTGGAAAATCATTGCATAACCATTTGCCACCTAGCCCAAAATGTCAAGATTTGTGTGGGGTCTGTGAAAAAAAAACATCCAAGACCATCTTAACATGCATAAGATACAATACAGGATGAAAGCTGGGTCCATCACTATGATTGTGAGACTAAAGTCCAGTTGATGCAATGGAAACCTCGTGACTCACCACCTCCAAAAAAGGTGTGTGCCCAACTCTCAGCAGGCAAAGTCATGCTCACAGTATTTTGGGACCAGCACAGAGTAGTATTGATTGATTTCCTAGCAAAGGGTACCATCACTGGGGCATACTATGCTTCACTACTGTGGAAATTGCAGGAGGCCATCAAAACCAAGAGACGTTGGCATGCTCACCAAAGTTGTCCGCCTTCTGCAAGACAATGCACCAGTTCACAACTCGTATGTTGCCCAAATTGAAGCATGCTTTGAAATTCTACCACATTCCCCTTATTCACCTGCCCTCGCTCCATTGGACTTCCACCTCTTTCCAAACATGAAATTATTTTTGAAGGGCAAGCATTTCTCAGATGATGAGACTGATTTCTGAAGTCACAACGTGGCTTTTGGAGCAACCTGCTGACTTCTACAAGCGAGTTGTTTACAGTTGCTTAAAAAGATGGGAGAAATGTGTGTCCTTAGGTGGCACCTATGTAGAGAAGGACTAATAACGGCAGTTTAATTGCTCTCAGTCCACAGGAAGTGGGTCAGGGGAAACCTTTAAGCAACCACCTTCGAATCCTCAATTTTTCTGGGGAAAGTTTCTGATATAAATTGGTGCCAGAAGTTAAAATCATGAACAACTGATAGATATAAGGATTTTTTTTCAAGGAGAGATTAAAAATAAACATGATTTGGAAGGTTTTTGTTTTTGATAAACTGTTGGGTTTGTCATATTTTACTTCTACATGTGTGTAGTTCTAATTGTGTATTTAGTCCAGACGTTTTGTATGCTATGCTTTCCAGTCATGAAGGATGAAGATGCTTAATGCAACCTTGTATCCGTTTCATCACAGTGTGAACCAAATACAGCAGGGAACTTCTACGTAACAGATTTGATGAAGTGCACAAGTGTTTCTTATTCCTGACATATCTAGCCAAAGATGAGGAATTTTGTAAATGCCTAGAGCAAAACAGTATTTTGCAGGTGTGAAAGCTGTTGTACTGGAACTTGCTTCTGAGGAGACATGCATGGAATTAATTTTGAGTAGCAAAATGCAGTTGTCCTCACTGCTGGAATGCAGCTCCAAAACCCTTCTCAAATTGTATATTGGGTTTCCCATTCATCCCATAACCTTCCAAAAACACATTAAGGAGGCAGTGGCATCATGAACCACTCACTCTCCCCATCCCCATAATTAAACCCCTGAAAATGAGTGAATCTGAATAGACATAATGAACTGGGAAACACTAAACTTGGTCCAATACACACATCCATCCAGATCCTGTAGAACTTTCAAGAGTAAAGGTTCTTGTGCTAGAAATCAAGTCAAGGGCTGCCTGTTTTGATATATGTGGAAATGTACCATTCAGATCTATTAATGTTTAGCAGAATGGAACACAATTAGATGTTGCTCTCATCAAAAATTATGGGAGGGTGTTTCATCAAGACTGGTATTTATTTCAAAGGAAAATAGGAAAAATAATTAATCAATATTTTATTGTTATGTATTGCCAGGCATGAGGGGAGATGACTCCCAAATCTTCATGCCATCAATTTAGAAATAAGAGTTCTATACAAACAAAAAGAATCTTGTCTAGTGTTTCATGACTTTTAGGTGAAATGTCAACTGCGTCCACTGAAGAGTTGGAGGAATAGCAAAATTCAGTGGAGACATCATCTGATTGCTTGGATTGAGCTAAAACTGGAAGATGTTGTATCCAACTTGGCAAAATAGCCCCGTAGCTCTTCATAGTAATTATTAGTATTTCAAAAATTCTGACAAAAACAACCTGGAACCTTTTGCACATGAAATATATAGGTCTTTACATTATGGCAGCCATGCCTAACTATAATTAAAAACTTTTGTCTCCTAGCATTACCACCCCTTTTTCCCAGTAATTACAGTAACTATAACTTCTCCTTCCTAGATGGGCTGTGATAGGGATGGCTACTACTGTWCAATTCCTTGTTCCTGAAAGGTGTGTGTGGGGGGGGGGGGGYGCATCTTGAATGACTCTTAAAACTGTAAAGTATAAATGAGAGTTGGGGTGGGTGGGAGGGGAGGCTCAAAACAGTATACACACAGACCAGAGTGAGTAAGTTTTAGACTACAGTGGCCACTATGTTTTCAACTACTTGGACATTCTACAGTTACAGATAGTGCCAAGTAGGTGTTTCCATGCATGGTTTATACAGTTCTTAAAGAAAGCAAAGGAGAACAACAGTGAAAGATGTTTTTATTACCAGTTGTAGTGATTTATTTTCTTTTATCTTTCTCTTCAGCATAGACAGGTCCACAAATACCATGCCAAATTACATTCCAGAATAGGATCTTATTAAATCTATTTGTTATTGCTAAGTTTTGAATACAAAGTTTTGGTGAATCACTAGTGGGCATATTCTGAGCAAGATTATATATCAATACAGATCAGTGAAAACTATTCTATAGTAGTAATATGATGTTCTAGCTTCCAAAAAAAACCCCAGTCTCCAGTTGTTTGGAAGAAAAATGCCACCTGCAAAAACATCTGACAAAAGAACTATAAAAGTTACTTTCTGTTATTAGAGTTCTTGTCTAAGAAGTGTCACGCCAACAAGAAATCTATGCAGTGTCTTGTCTTATCTTTTTGTCAGCCTGCTTCAAGGAGATCCATGTATTCAACATACTTGCCCGCAGCTTGGCCCAAATGAAATGATTATTCAGCCCAAAAACCTGAGCAGCAAACTGCGCAGCACCTTCAGGTGAAAGAATTGTGGAACAGCCAAGACCTGTTTAAGAAGAAAAGGAAAAATAGAATTTACAGCAGTCATTTTGATATTTACAGAAAACCAGCAACATATCACCTTAACTTTATAGGTATTCCCTCTGAAGGAACTCAGAGTTTTAGTTAAAAAGGCAATGAGAGGGCATGGGGATAGTAACTAACCTATTTACATATTTTAATGGGCAATTACAGATAATGCTTGGTATTCTATATCAGCTATTCACTCCTAGCCCAATTCCCCCACCTCCAAAGTGACATATTCAGCCATATTTCAATCGCTGGCAGAATTTCTCATGTAGCTGATGTCTCTTAAAGGAAGAAGGGAGGGAATTACAGCATTGGCAAAAAAGTCACAATTGTGTCTTAAGTCAGTGGTTCTCAACCTGTGGGTCCCCAGGTGTTTGGGCCTACAACTCCCAGAAATCCCAGCCAGTTTATCAGCTGTTAGGAATTCTGGGAGTTGAAAGCCAAAAACATCTGGGAACCCACAAGTTGAGAACCACTGGTCTAAGTAGTGGTTGTGATTACTAGAAGTTTGGCAACCACCATTTTTTCATGATACTAGTCAACAGCTGCATGAAGAGGAGGTGGTCCATTCTGCCAGTGATCAGTCAATGGACAAATGACATTTCTGTTGAGTTTCAGGGGGTTAAACCAGGAAAGATTACTTACTGAAGTATGCTTAAGCAGCTGTTGCTGGTTTTCAAGGGGCTAATATGGTTATACAAGTACAAGATCTTCAACCACTAGAGGTTAGTAGAAGACAGCTCCTCTGAGTGAATACTAAATATCTGCTCTAAATCAGTATTGCAAGCATATTTTGAGAGCATGTGTACTTAAAATCTAGAGTAATACTAATCTTGAGACTAAAAATATTTTTTCCTAAATATTAATGATTTGGTTTACCCAAGAGCTGCAGAAAGGTTGAGGTTTAACTAGAAATAAATTAAATTCTCAGGGCCAGAATTCCTCTCTCATCACCAAGAACTATAGAAGAATAAAGCATATATTGCTGCTCTGGGCCAGAGTGTGGAGAGAGGGCCAGAAGACAGTTCCACCTTGCCTCCTGTGCTATGCTAAATATATAATATAATGTAATATAGTGTATATACATATAATTTTATATTATAATGCAATACAATACATAATGATACAATATTATAATTATATATTTTATATTACATGTAATATTACTAACAATATTACAATATAATGGTATAGTACAATATAGTAATATATAATACTGATATCATACTATGCTAATAATATAATATAATGTATGTATATATATCGTGTAGGCCGCTCTGAGTCCCCTTCGGGGTGAGAAGGGCGGCAAATAAATGTCTTAAATAAATAAATAAATATGTTTGATTAAAAATTGAGAAATTTGTTTGTATATCTTTACAACTAAATCACAACATACACACAGCAATTTAAGAATGTCTACAGTGGGTTGTTGTAGGGTTTTTTTCAGACTGTATGGTCATGGTCTAGAGGCATTTTCTCCTGACGTTTCGCCTGCATCTATGGCAAGCATCCTCAGAGGTAGTGAGTATGTGAGAGAATGCCTCTAGACCATGGCCATACAGCCCGAAAAAAACCTACAACAACTCAGTGATTCCGGCCATGAAAGCCTTCGACAATACAATGTCTACAGTATCTTAAGTATGACTAAACAGAAACCTAAACTACGGGAAACAATGGAATAAACCTTAAAACTTGTGTCATTTCTATGCATGTTTACAACCGAGATAATCCACATCAAAAATGAAAATTTGAGCTCACAGTTCTACAGCAATTTAGATGGAGTGAACAGTTTTGGTGGCAACTAATTTGGCTTGGAGCATGACCTGTCTTTGGAAAATAACTTTCTTGCAAAGCATTCAAGGTTGAGAACTCACCACTCGGCAGTCTCAGTGATGACCATATATCCTGAGCACCCCAATCTGCAGACAATGGAGGACAGTTGATAACAGGATATGCAGTGTTTCCAGACATCACAGGTCCCAGTCCATTACTTCTCCCAGCCACTGCTATGAATACTGTGGCAATGCCATCACCTGGTAACATGTAAAAAAATCCACAAGATTTATGCCAGATGTGTCCATGGAAAGACAATTTTGCATCATTTTCTCATGGCACTCAACAAAACAACTGTTTTGCTGCCACAGGATTAGGCGTTTCGTCAACAAATTCAATTTACCTTCATATTCTGCTTTGATTCTTAGTGTTTCATCTGGTCCTTTATGAGCAGAAGTCACTCGTAATTCACAGGGAATGCCAAAGCTTCCACAGGCCTTTTTAATCTTCTCACAGTGAGCAAGATCTGAGGTTGAACCCATAAGCACAACCACTCTGCCTTGGCTCTGTGGTTTCAGCAACATCTAGAAAAAAGGAAAGTCAAAGGCCAAATTAAAAAATATTTGGGGAAAAAATACAAAAGTTAGCTAGCTTTTTTATGTAGGCTGATGTTAATACCTCCACTCTTTCGGCCACCCATTCAAAGTTTCTCTTCACCATCTGCAGTGCTTCAGGGGTTACTTCTTTGAGATCACGGTATGACTAAAAGATATAAGAAAAAGATCCAGATATTGCATAATCCATGAGATGTGCGTATTTTATAGATCCCGAAGCAGCAACTTTCACCAGAAAGCTACAATGCTAATTTGTATAACTAGTAGCATTCAGAACTCCACAATGTCCCAGAGTACTGAAAAAAATATGACGAATTGCTTGCCATCATTTTAGAAAAATCTGGAATAACAGGTGAAATGCCAAAGGAATGGAGAAGGGCAAGTAATAACCCCCTCTTCAAAAAAGGCAACAAAAGATTATTTTAGAAACTACAACTCAGTTGGCCTCACAATACCAGGAAAAATAGTAAGATTACAGTAGGCCTTTGGTTCTAGCACCTGCTGAAGATACCAAAATCCTGAGATGTGAAAGCCTCATTATATAGCACAGTGAAGTAAAATAAGATCCCTTATATCAAACAGCAAAAATAAATTAATTTGTTTGGAATTAAAAAAAAAATTTCAAGCCATGGATAGTGGAATTATGGGTTCAGAATCCATGGATACAGAATACCTACTCTATACAAGAGTCTGCCTGCAAGTAAATTGACGACAACGCAATGATCAGCAGCAGCCAGCATGGTTTTGTCAGGAACAAATTCTGCCAAACTAACCATATATCACTCATAACCATACAGGCCATGCAACATTTATATAAATATAATAAGCTTATTATTTCTGCATCATGAAAAAGTGATGTTAAAATAAGTGAAACATACTTAATGTACAATAAAATGTACTCAATGCACAATTCCTATATATTTTTTCTTTATATTTTCAATTTTTTTTACAAAGTTTTAAATTATTACCAAAAAAATTTGTTCTCAGAAGACTAATTCTATTAAAATTGATGTTTCTATTGGTGTCAAAGTATTAATAAAGTTAGGTTGCTGTGAGTTTTCCGGGCTGTATGGCCATGTTTCAGAAGCATTCTCTCCTGACGTTTCGCCCACATCTATGCCAGGCATCCTGAGAGGTGTGAGGTCTGTTGGAAACTAGGAAAATTAGGTTTATATATCTGTGGAATGTCCAGGGTAGGAGAAAGAACTCTTGTCTACTTGAGGCAACTGACAACCCTGATTAGCATTGAATAGCCTTGCAGCTTCAAAGTTTGGCTGCCTCCTGCCTGGGGAAATCCTTTGTTGGGAGGTATTTGCTTGCCCTGATTGATTCTTGCCTGGAATTCCCTTTTCTTTTTTTTAGTGTTCCTCTTTATTTGCTGTTCAGATTGTACAGTTTTTTTTAAATACTGGTAGCCAGATTTTGTTCATTTTCATGGTTTCCTCCTTTCTGTTGAAATTGTCCACATACTTGTGGATTTCAATGGCTTCCCTGTGTAGCCTGACATGGTCGTTGTTTGAGTGGTTCAGTAAAGTGTTTGTAAAACATTTGAAGAAAATATCTATGGAGAATTCACGGGGTAGTTAATCCCAACTTGCAATCCCTTGACAGTGGACAATAAATCGCTGACCACTGTCTATACTGGTTCAGGCTTATGGAAGCTGAGGTTTAAAATATCTAGACTAAAGGCTGAGAACCATGGCTCTAGAAAACAGCTTTGTCTCCCTCTCAGAGGCAGCAGTGAAATTTCAAGAATTCATCACTACTACATATAGAATTTCCAGGACAGTAAATCTGAGTGACTACTCCAACCTCTTTTTTAAAAACACAATTGCACCTTTACTTTAGCCCTCTAACCGTAAACTTAAGAACCCAGAGACAGGGCATAATATTACCTGTTTGTCTTTCTGCTGTTTTCTGTCTCCAGATGGCCACAACCGCCAAGAATCATTATCAATGACATCGGCAAGAACGATCTCTTTTGTAGCCACACAAACACCAAACTCAACCTAAAACCACCAAACAACAGACATGTTATCTGAAGCCAGTGATTGTATCATTCCTTTGAAAGCAGATTTTGTTTCAGAAGAGTATTTTCCATACCTTCATGTCCACTAAAGTACAGTTCAGGGGCTGCCATGCTTTCTCAAGTATTTCAAAAATAGCTCGGGTAGACTGAGCCATAATATCAACTTCCGTTCGTCCAATTTCAAGGCCAGCAAACTGGAACTTCACTTCAATGAGTTGCTCATCAGACCATTGTGGATCATTGGCTGCATCATCCTGGAAAATAAACAGCAACATTCCTTTACATTTTCACAACACACCTGATTCAATTCTCCTGTGGAGGGGAAATGAACTAGAAATCGTTACAGACACTTTAAAACATTATACAAATGCACGATTTCTAAGTTCACACAGTACCAATTGTAGACTTAGCATCCTACTACTGATGGACTTTACTCAGTAGATGTAAAGGGTTCTATTTTGTCCTCCCTGCTTTTTAACATCTACATGAAACCGCTGGGAGAGGTCATCCGGAGTTTTGGAGTTCGGTGCCATCTCTACACAGATGATGCCCAACTCTACTACTCTTTTCCGCCTAATTCCAAGGATGCCCCTCAAGTGCTGGACAAGTGCTTGGCCGCTGTAACAGTCTGGATGAGGACAAATAGGCTGAGGATCAATCCTGACAAGACAGAGGTCCTTCAGGTCAATTGTAAACTGGATCGAGGTATAGGGTGGCAACCTGTGCTTGACAGGGTTGCACTCCCCCTGAGGTCACAGGTCCACAGCTTGGGTATCCTCCTAGACTCATCGCTAACGCTTGAAGCGCAGGCATCGGCGGTGGCTGGGAGGGCCTTTGCACAATTAAAGCTTGTGCGCCAGCTGCCACCATATCTCATGAAGTCAGATTTGACCGTGGTGGTCCACGCCTTAGTTATCTCCAGATTGGATTATTGTAATGCGCTCTATGTGGGGCTGCCCTTAAAGAAGGACCGGAAATTTCAATTGGTCCAATGGGCGGAAGCCAGACTACTAACTGGAGCGAATTACAGGGAGCGGTCAACCTCCTTGTTTAAGGAGCTCCACTGGCTGCCGTTTATTTTCCGGTCCCAATTCAAGATGCAGGTTCTTACCTACAAGCCCTGAACGGTTTGGGACCGCATCTCCGTTTACAAACCCACGCGATCTGTTTTATCTTCTGGAGAGGCCCTCCTCTTGCTCCCGCCCCCATCACAAGTGTGACTTGTGGGGACGAGGGAGAGGGCCTTCTCTGTGGTGGCCCTCCGTCTCTGGAACTCGCTCCCCAAAGATATTAGACAAGCCCCCACCCTGGCAGTCTTCAGGAGGAGCTTGAAAATTTGGCTGTTCCAGTGTGCCTTCACTGAATAATTAACAGTAATTCCCTGTCCTGACCAATTCTGGCAAAATCTCCTCGGAAGCACCTTATTATACCTGTGAGTGCAATCAACCCTATTCTACTCTCCGGATCCCCTGTCCAGATACACTGTCCTGCTGTCCGACCCAGGATTTTAATTTTTAATTCTGATTTTAACCCAATAGTACTGGCCCTGTCCATAGTGTTTGATCTCTGTGTCTAAATGTGATTTTATAGTGCTGATGTGTTATTTATATTGGTTTTTGTATTGTATTTTATTTTCTTACATTTTATTGCTGTGTTTTGTTTATACTGATGTATTGTATTGCTGGGCTTGGCCTCATGTAAGCCGCCCCGAGTCCTCTTGGGGAGATGGAGGTGGGGTATAAAGAAAGTTTTTTTATTATTATTTATTAGAGTACTACCATGGAAGAACCTTTTGTGTTATCCTGATACTTTGCTTCAATCTGTATTGGCACATTTTCTCTCCATTTTATAACTTTTCTTCTACCTTCTTCCCCAACTGGATTGAAAACTGTGATTTCCTTTGACCCTCAAACTGTGGTATCACAATAATGCTACAAATACAGCAATTACGTATCTCTCTTGGCCATTCAACAATCCATTTTTCGCACTGGAGAGTGTGCTATCCAAATTCCAGGTATCAAGGTGTGTCTCCAACGCCGCCCTATGTCTGGTGACTGGAATCCTGAGAACTGAGGCCAGGGTGTGGGTGGTTATACTGAACTATTGGCTTAGACCAGTGGTTCTCAACCTGTGGTCCTCCAGATGTTTTGGCCTTCAACTCCCAGAAATCCTAACAGCTGGTAAACTGGCTGGGATTTCTGGGAGTTATAGGCCAAAACACCTGGGGACCCATAGGTTGAGAACCACTGGCTTAAACTATCCTTCTCTCCTCTTGGCCTTGCACCATTTACTATATCCAGACAGGAAAAAGCAATAGCATCAACATTTCATCCTTGGGCTTCTCTCGAGGATTGCTAACCAGTATGGGCTACGACCAAGCTAAATCTCTTATTAAACGACGAATAACTGACATTGAGTGCCAATCAGATTTAGCCAATGCCCCATCCTTTCTTATCAATGGAGTCAATAGGTTTTGTACCTCCCCTATGAATTATCTGACCATGCTGGAGGTTTCCAGGCATCAGAGAGCCTTCTCTCTGGCACATTGCCAGGCCTCCCATCTGCCATATTGGTTCACACCACCCCTAAGATACCTCACTTTGTGGTTGTGGGAGGGAAGGTACACCAGGTGGTTATGGAAGGTGAAAGAAATAGTATGAAGTAAAAGATGTGTGTAGAAAGTCCTCTTTCCCACTTAAAAGTATTCTCAAGCAGCGCTGTCTGCTGTTCCCACTACCCTCTTTCACTCCATACACACATATATCTGGCATTCCTGTACCCTTAGTGGTCTTATTGAGGGTGTTGCATTTCCAGCTGGCAAGGAACAGAAGGAACCCCCGAAGGAGGGAAAGCTAGTGAACAAAGCAGTTGGCTCTGTACAACCACTGTTGCTGCCAGCATCACCTTGGAGACCCCACCACAATGAGTGTAAGGCAAATTGGGCAGTTATCTCATGACCACTACAGTCATGAATTCATGGCAGTACCACCAATAATGACATGGAGTGTGTCATAAATATTAGAAATTAGCTAGGTATTTTTAATTACAAAAATGTGAGTCTAGCACTGAAAGGGTGAAATGGATACAATGACTCAGCAAACAGTTCAATATAAGCAGATGTGCTTGTAGCTTAGTAGCTCTCAGTCTGAGAGAGGCCTCAGTGTGAGGTAAACCTCAGTGTTAGTAGGCCTCAGTGTGAGGAAGGTCTCAATGTGAGAAGGCCTGGAGTGAGAAGCCCCAGGTTGAAGACCTCGTGTGTGAAGCTTCAGTGGGCTGCTATGTGTAAAAAGCTACTGTGTGAAGCTCCTGTGTAAGTTCAGTGTGAGAGGAAGCTAAGTGAGAATGAAGCTGTTTATCTGCATGAGAAAGAAGCCCAGCGTTGAAGCAAAGAACAAAGTATAAAGAACTTTGAGTTATGGAAACCTTGTTCTTGTAAATGATGCAACCATATTATTTTGCTATAAAGAAAAGCCTCCAAAGGAAGATATAACATTGGTCTGTATGTTTTTGTTCTTTTTATCACCTTTGGCTATTGGTGCTGAGTCACGTTGCTGCTAATAAGTTACATTTAGGAGGAGGGTCTTTTGTTAATAAGCCCACTCATACACAGAGAGAGGGATGGAAGCAGAGACTGTGGTGGCGGCAACAGCAACAAGGAGAGGTGAGCTCTCCCGTCTTCCTTTCCTCCCTCTGACAGACATAGGGAGAGGCAGAGGAGGAAAAACAACACAAGTAGATGCTGGCAGCAAATGGTTCTGGGTTTTCAAGGTTTTCAGATATTACTTTCTAGAGTAGGGATGTTTAACCTGATTATATCTGCTAAATGATATTTCACAACCAGCATTAGAAACAAGGTACATCTATATAACTCACCTTATAAAACATCTCAATTTTAGGAGGGTAAAATTTGTAGCCTTCTTCAACACCAGGATTTCTTTTCAGGAAAGAACCTGTAGCAATTCTCCTGCAAACCCATTCAATGGGAATCATTTCACAATGAGCAGCTATAAAGGCTGAGTCGCTGTGTTTCCTCACAAACGCAGTTTTGATTCCTGAGGGAGGGGAAATGACTTTAGTTCCACAAATGAAACACATTTATAAATAACCTGAAAAAGCACAGAGAGGTAAAAAAACATCTGAAAAGGGAAGGGAAATAGAGAAATAAATAGCAATTGCTTAAGGAAATAATTTTCAATTTTATAGCCCATTCTTTACACATTTGACTCCATCCCTCCATGCTGCAGAAATTCTGCCCCTGAGCATCCTGGGTGAGAGGAGGGAATTTAACAAGACTGATAACCTTGTTGAAAAAATGCCAGGGGAAATCTGTTTGCAACCTTTGTACTGCAAAAACACACACGACAGAATGAGGGGAGATTAGAAGGAAAGCATTCACCAGTAAATAATTCATTGAGAAACATTTGAGAGCATGAGAGAGAGCTTCAAATAAGGTAATTTTTAAGCCATAAAGTTACTCAGTACCAAGATCTCACCAAAGTACACTGACATGAAGCAATTTTGAGAGGCTCATCACGATAAACTGATGTCAGCTTGATTAGAAGTGATATGTTTTAAAGATCTTATAACCCACAAAGTTTATTCTTGAGTAGTTACACACTTTTTGTGCATGAAGCTAGTGTCATAATATCAGAGATCAGACATGTTGCATGAAGGGGAGGAAGGAAATCTGAAAGACATCTGGAATTCTGTTGATTGGTCCCAGTTAGAGAAGACCTAATGAATATGGGATCAACAGGTAGGGAAACCCAACTGTTCTTTTATAGTTGGGACTAACAGTGAGATTAAGGCTATACACTTTAAAAATGCACAAGCAAAAAAAATGTAAAATTAATTCCCAGATCACATGTAGTGTTCAGGAAAGGAAGTTACTAATACAGATCACGTCTTAGCCATTTTCTCATTAATGGCTGTAAATCATATACATGCGAAGACATTATTATGGATTTTTGGAAAGCCCATTTTGGTCGAACGTGGTCATGATTTCACAAAGTTCGTTTTGGCCAGTGTTGAGAGTTTTGAGTTTCTTTTCATTTTGTTTGTCTAGAAGGCATAATGATGTTATGAACATCCTCCTATTCACCTTTTCAGTGATGTTTATAGATGTCACTACTGGTAGCGAAGCAGTGCTCTCCAGGCTATCTGATATCAGCAACCAGTAATTATTTTCTCCCAAGAAACAGTATTCCCTACCCTATCCCCTATCCTTTAACCAGTTCGCATAGTGACCTCCCCCCACCCCCCAAAAATTAGTCTGCTGTTGCTTTTGATGCTTGTTTACTATTGTTTATGCTGTTTTATGCTATTTTAACTTGTCATTGTACTGTTTTAATTGTATATTGCCTTGGGCTTGGCCCCATGTAAGCCGCCCCGAGTCCCTTTGGGGGGATGGAGGCGGGGTAGAAAAATAAATGACTACTTCTTCTTCTTCTGCTACTACTACTACTTCTGCTACTACTACTTCTTCTTCTATGTGTACCCATCTGGCTACAATTGTTTGTTCCTTACCTGCAGAGAATAACTGCCAACAGCTCATGTCCCAAACGCTAGCTCAGGGACCACCACTTTGACTAGTACTACGCTAGACAACCTAGTGTATTTCATGAGACCCATCACTGATGACCAAGTCATTCTTTTGCTACATGTGGTGCGGGTGAGGAGTACATTTGTGCAATTTTCACATTTGAAAAATGTCAGGATAAAAACTAGTTTTTTATTGTCTGCAATGCAGCACATGGATTCTCAAAACTCACCAGATTCCTGAAGCAACTGAAAGACAGCGCATGTCGTGGTATTTGAGATTGCAGCCTTCCCCTCCATGAGATCCTTTCGAGCTGCATTTCCCGCTGTTATCTGGTCTTTTGATTGTAAAAGCACACATCCAGGAATGCTGGGCAATTCATAAACCTCCTTTGTTTTCCCCTCATTTATTTTTTTGCCAAGTTTCAGTTCTGGAGAAAGAAGGGGAAACAGTTGTAAAGTTTTGTAACCTTCTTTCAAATGTACAAGGCTTTTAGTACAATCTTAATTATAACAAGGTAGTCAATACAATCTTCACAAGGCCCTTCCAGACAGGCCCTATATCCTAGGATCTGATAGCAGGTTTTCTGTTTATCCCAGATTATCTGGCAGTGCAGACTCATATAAACCAGTTTAAAACAGAAAACCTGGGATCAGATCCTAGTCTTAACCTGAAAGCCTTACCCCACTGTTTATCCTTTTTGGGCTCCTCTCAATTACACCTTTTCTATTCCTACCTCATCCAGGGTTTTATCATTTTTCCTCGTCTATTTGGCCTGCCCATTCTGTTAATCTTATATTGTGCTAATTTGCTTTATTTTATTTTGCTACTGTATGTATTTATTGTGATGTAAATTTTGTAGTCTGCATTCTGTATTTTATTTTGCTGTATTGTATCTTTGGGCTTGGCCTCATGTTAGCCACCCCGAGTCCCCTTCGCGAAAATGGTGGCGGGGTATAAAGTTATTTATTATTATTATTATTATTGGGCCTGTCTGGAAGGGCCTACAATCTGATTGATTACACATTTACTCAGAGGTACGTTCTACCATATTTCCAGATAAATATGTACAGAACTGTAATCTCCATTTCTCTGTTGTCTACAGTGCAACTTTTTTTAAAAAATAGAAGACATATTCAAAGATTTCAGTTCAGCAAATTTGCTTGTGTATATTGTAAAAGCTAATTTTGTCGAAGTACACTGAAGCAAGCAATAGCTGACCCTGCAAAGAAATTTTGTGAAAGAACACCTTGACAAATACTAATTAAAGAATCATTCTGTTAAGCTTTAGATATGTTGAGTCTATTTTTTGACGTCAGCCTGGGATATAAAGAAATGGGAGATGACCAGATGACTTATCTGGGGAGCATCTATCTGGAAAAGAGAATATTTGGCTGGTTGAGATCCTAAACAGAAAGACCCCCTGGTATATTTAAATTATGGAATCAGAGTCAAGCTTTACAAAGAAAGTATACAAACTATATACTGATCGTCACATCTGACAGTCACATGCTTGTCTTCATCATGATTTTTTTTTTGTGTCAGGAGTGACTTGAGAGACAGCAATTCGCCTCTGATGTGAGAGAATTGGCCGACTGTAAGGACGCCCAGATGTTTTACCATCCTGTGGAGACCTCTCTCATGTCCCCATATGACAAGCTGGAGCTGACAGACAGAAGCTCACCCCGCTCCCCAGATTCAAACTGCTGACCTATCACGATAAATGAAATACTTCCAAGTATTTACAACTTTCTTTGCACACACAGTGTATACAAAACCGAGAGACATTTATAGTTTTGTAAGCGTCCTTATAAAAGGACTCCTGTTTTGTAAAAATAGGAGTCATTTTATACGAGTTCTGTGGGCATGCTGCATCGTTGCCTCTTGGTTAATACACAGCAAATGAAGTGGTGATCCCAGAAGGGTCGTAACAGGCAATATAAAAACTTCAGAAAAAAGGAAGTCCATCTTCAATCTATAATTGCACATAGAATGAAGTGATTGTCTTCTTCAGAAGATATGCATGGCAAGTATGCTGTCAAAGGTTAAGATAAAGGTTTTCCCCTGACATTAAGTCCAGTCGTGTCTGACTCTGGGGGTTGGTTTTCATCTCCATTTCTAAGCCGAAGAACCGGCATTGTCCATAGACACCTCCAAGGTCATGTGGCCAGCATGACTGGACGGTGCACTGTTACCACCCCACCGGAGCGGTACCTATTGATCTACTCATATTTGCATGTTTTCGAACTGCTAGTTTGGCAGAAGTTGGGGCTGACACTGGGAGCTCCCACCGCTCCCCGGATTTGAACCTGCAACCTTTCAGTTAACAAGTTCAGCAACACAGCGCTTTAACCCACTGACGTCAAACTGCCTGTCAATTTATGGAAAAACCATTAATTTCATAGGTTTGTTTTTTTGTTTTGTTTTTTGACATAGAGTTGGCTGTATTGGATCCTTCCTCTGTACCTGGCATTATTTGCAGTCTATATTTCATCAGAATGTTTGTGTGTGTGTGAAGGGGACTGGTACAGCTTTAAATCATAACTCCTTGATTCTCAACATCCCCACTAGCATGGTCACTGGCCATCTTGGCTAAGAGGTTTGGGATGTGTGCTTCAAAACAGTATCTTCTCCAAACTTGGGGAAGACATGGGGAAAAAATTATTAATTTTTTTCTTGTAGGAACTCAAAAAGATTACAGACAACATCAAAACCGTTATAGCCTCATGGCTTTGTAGAGCCTGTTACTTTGTATCATCAGAATTTTCCACCATCCAGTTCTGCAAGTCACCTTATGACAAGTCCATAGGGTTTTCCTTAGGCAAGGAATCCCCAGAGGTGGTTTAACAGTCCCTTCCTTTGAAATATAGCCTTCAGAACCTGGCATTTGTTGGTGGGCTCCCAGCCAAGTCCTTACTAGGGCTGATCCTACTTAGCTTCCAACATCTGAGCTTAATAAAGACAGTTCATGTAATTTGCTTGGATATATTGTAAGACTAAACACTATCAGGAAATTGAGCCTGCAAAGAAATTTCATGTAACAACACCTTGGCAAACCCGAATTATAGAATCATTCTGTTAAGGTTTAGATAGGTTCGGTCTATTTTCTGAAATCAGCCTGGGAAAGAGCACATCTAGATGGCTGAGGTCTTGAACAGGCTTGGTCTTCCAGGTGTTTTGGACATCAGTCCCCAGAATTCCTTTGCATCCACTGAGTCATCAGAAAGCAGAGATGTCACTGTGTTGTCAAAGACTTTCATAGCCAGAATCACTGGGTTGCTGTGAGTTTTTGGGCTGTATGGCCATGTTACAGTAGTATTCTCTCCTGACATTTCACCTGCATCTATGGCAGGCATCCTTCTGTTTCTGAAAGGTGTCCCTTTCTTACTGCCTTGATTCTGATGTTTTTAAATACCCGTAATCAGTTTTAAGGTAAAGGTTTTCCCCTGACATGAAGTCCAGTCGTGTCCAACTCTGGGGTGTGGTGCTCATCTCTATTTCTAAGCCGAAGAGCCAGCATTGTCCATAGACACCTCCAAGGTCATGTGACCTGAATGACTGCATGGAGCGCCTTTACCTTCCCACCGGAGCAGTACCTATTGATCTACTCACATTTGCATGTTTTCGAACTGCTAGGTTGGCAGAAGCTGGGGCTAACAGCGGAAGCTCACGCTGCTCCCCGGATTTGAACCAGCGACCTTTCGGTCAACAAGCTCAGCAGCTCAGCACTTTAATCTACTGTGCCACCAGGGTCCAACCGGTATTATCAATCTGGAATTCCAGACAGCCAACAATCAAATGTCAGTTAACACCTCCAAAGCAAAGGATGTCCCCAGGCAGCAACAGCCAGGCTTTGCAGCTGCAAAGCTACTCACCAGCTAATCAAGGTGGCCAATTGCAAAATTCACACTTGCATCAAACAGACAAGAGTTCTTTCTCCCACCCTGGACATTCTACACACACACCACTTGCCTCATTCCCACAGACCTTCGAACAAATCTCTGAGGATGCTTGCCACAGATACAGGTGAAATGTCAGGAGAGAATGCTACTGGAGCATGGCCATACAGCCTGAAACACTCACAGCAATCCAGAGGTGTCGCTATTTCAGGCTGTTTCAAAATGATGTTTAAGGGTCCTTCCACACAGCCATTTAACCCAGAATATCAAGGCAGATAATTCACAATATCTGCTTTGATGTAGATTATCTGAGTCCACATGGCCATATAACCCAGTTCAATGTGGCTTTTATAGAGCTGTGTGGAAAGGGCCGAAGAAAAGTGGTTTCACTGGGCAGGTGATCACCTGGAACCAGTTTGAGATTCAGACGCTGTTTACACAAACCACTGATGTACATTAGAATCATAGAATTGGAAGAGACCTCATGGGCCATCCAGTCCAAGCCCATTCAGCCAAGAATCTGGAGAATTGCATTCAAAGCACCTCCTTTTTTTTTGGTCATGTCAGGAGCAACCTGAGAAACTGCAAGTCGCTTCTGGTGTGAGAGAATTGGCCGTCAGCAAGGACGTTGCCCAGGGGACGCCCGGATGATTTTTAATGTATTATCATCCTTGTGGGAGGCTTCTCTCACATCCTCGCATGAGGAGCTGGAGCTGGTAGAGGGAGCTCATCCGCCTCTCCCCGGATTCGAACCTGCGACCTATTGGTCTTCAGTCCTGCTGGCACAGGGGTTTAACCCACTGTGCCACCGAGGGCTCCCTCTACCTGTCTGCACCCGTCAGATAGCCATCCAGCCTCTGTTTAAAAGCTACCAAAGAAGGAGCCTCCATCACACTCTGCAGCAGAGAGTTCCACTGCTGAACAGCTCTCACAGTCAGGAAGTTCTTCCTAATGTTCAGATGGAATCTCCTTTCTTGTAGTTTGAAGCCATTAAGATCTTTCTTTTATGCACTTTTGTGGGAGTTTGTTGGCCAAAGGCCACACTCTGAAGCTAACTTTGAACTGCGTTAAATAGACAGGGCAGACAGGGCCTCAGCCATCCATTTTGGATTTTGTAGTAGTATCTTAGGTTTAGGAAACCTGGGGAAAGTATACTGACCAAGGCAGAGGAGGCTTCTGGGTGCTGGAGTCCCAAACACCTGGAGGACTCAGCATGTGGCCTCCAACTCCCAGAAGCCCTAGCCAGCTTGTCCAATGGTCAGGAATTCTGGGAGTTGAAGGACTCCTTTGCTGTGGGGCATTCAGGAGGCCTTCTTTGGGGGGAGGAGAAGAAGGCACTCACTCACCTGTAGGGCGGATGGGAGCCATGGCTGCTGCAGCAGGAGCCCGAGGCGCCTAGGAGTCAAAGGCAAAGAGAAGTTAGCACAAGAGGAAGAAGGAGAGGAAGGAGGAGGAGGAGGAAAAGTTTGCTCGCGAGAGCGGTCCGCAGAGGAGCAAGTCCGAGGCGGAGAGAGAGGGCGCGCGCTGGCGGGGCGGCGTAAGAAGGGCGGGCGGCGGAAGGGGGCGGCCAATGAGGGGCGGGGAGCGCGCCCCGAACGCGCCAATGGCAGCCCCGCAAACAGGGCTTGCGCCACACAAACACACACACTCAATAGCGCGCGCACACGCCCCCTCGCAGCCCAATTTCCCCTCAAGCATTCCCTCCAATCTGAGGCCGGTTCTGGCGAACACCCCTCGCCCGCCTCTTTCCCTCCCCAGGGCCAAGGCGAAGTTGCACTCCAACTCCTCTAGCTTCTATTCCAGCGCCCCCAAGTCCTCGCAAACATCACCCGTTCTTTCTCCCTCTTCCTTACCCTCCTCCCTTTCTTCTCTCCCTTTCCCTCTTCTCTCTCTTCCCTTTCCCCTTCCTTCTCTTCTTTCTCTCCTCCTTCTTTCCCTCTTCTTCTTTCCCTCCCTCCTCTTCCTTCTTTCTCCCCCTTTCTCTTCCTCCTTCTCCCTTTCTTCTTCCCTTTCTTCCTTTTCTCTTTCTCTTCCTTCCTCCTCCCTTTTCCTCTTCCCCCTTTCTCTCTTTCCCTCCCTCCTTCTCTTTCCCCTTTCCCTTTCTTCTTTCCCTCTTTCCTTGTCTTTCTTCCCCTTTCACCCTCTCCTTCGCTCCTCTCTTCTTTCCCCCTCTTTTCTCTCTACCCTTTCCCTTCATTTTTCCTGTCGTTTTTCCCTCCCTTCTGCCTTTAACTCTTCTTTTCCCCTCTCCTTCCTCTTTCCCCTCATTCTCTCTTCCCTTGCCTCCTCTTTCCCTCATTTTCCCTGTCTTATTTCCCTTTCTCTGTCTTTTCCTCCTCTTTCCCCCTCGACTTCCCCTCTTTTCCTCCTTTTCCTTTCTTTCCCCCTTTCTCTCCCTTCTTTCCCTCCTTCCTTGTGTCTTTCCTCATCTTTCACCTTCTCCTTTGCTCTTCTCTCTTTCCCTTTCTTTCTCTCTTTCCTTCCCTTCATTTTCCCTGTCTTCTTTCCCTCTCTCCTTCCTCTCTTTTCCCCCTTTTCTCTCTTCCCTTCCCTCCTCTTTCTCTCATTTTCCCTGTCTTCTTTTCCTCCCTTCTCTCCTCTCTTTCGCCTACCCCTTTTCTTCCTCTATTTCCCTTTCTTTCCCTCTTTCTCTCCTTTTCTCTTGCTTATTTCCTCCCTCCTTCTGTCTTAGCACTCATTCTTCCTCCTTCCCTCCTCTTTTCCCGTTTCCTTTCTTCTTTCCTCCTCTTTCCCCTCTCCTTCCTTCCTCCTGTCTTTTCCTTCCCTTTCCCCTTTTCCTTCCTCTTTTCCTCTTTTTCCTTTCTCTCCCCCCTTCCTTGTGTCTTCCTCATCTTTCACCTTCTCTTTTGCTCCTTTCTCTTTCCCTCCTTTCCTCTCTTCTTTCCCTCTTCCCTTCATTTTCCCTGTCGTCTTTCCCTCCCTTCTGTCCTCTCGTTCTCTTTCCCCCTTTCCTTCCTCTATTTCCCTCCTTTTTCCTTTCCTTCCCTTTCTCTCCCTTTGCTCCTCTCTCTTTCCCTCCTTTCCTCTCTTCTTTTTCTCTTTCCTTCCCTTCATTTTCCCAGTCTTCTTTTCCTCCTCTTTCCCCCTCTCCTTCCCCCCTTTTCTCTCTTCCCTCCCCTCCTCTTTCTCCCATTTTCCCTGTCTTCTTTCCCTCCCTTCTGTCCTCTCGTTCTCATTCCCCCTTTCCTTCCTCTATTTCCCTCCTTTTCCTTCCCTTCCCTTCTCTCTTTCTCTCCTTTTCTCTTACTTATTTCCTTCCTTCTTTCATGTCTTCTCCTCCCTCATTCCCCCTCCTTCCCTCTCTTTCCCTATTTCCTTTCTTCTTTCCCCTCTCCTTCCTTCCTTCTTTTACCGTCCCTTCCCTCCCTCCTCTCTCTTTCCCTCCCTCTGTTTCTCTCTTTTTCCAGGAAGGATTCCTTCAGGAAGCAAAGTAAACAACTTCTTTCTTATCCCCAATCAAAGTCAGAGAGGGAAAATCAAGTTTCATCAATCAAGTTTCAGCTCAGAAAAGCAGGAAGTACCAAGGGAACCCCAAAAGAGGGAAGGCGGAGACTGGGGAGGGGCGACTTCCTCACAGGAGGGGGAGGGGGGGCTAACTTTTTTGTTGCCATGAGACCAAATCACACATACACACGAGGGAGGCGAGGGACTCCTAAAGCAGAAAAAAAGGGGCAGGACTCTCAATTTAGGAGCAGCCGCGAGACTAGCGCGCGCCCTCTCTCTATGCAAATCAGGCCTGTATGCAAATGAGGCACCGAGGGGCGGGAAAAAAAGGAGAAGGCTCGGTGCTCGCCCACAAGCCCAAGCGGCCACAAGCGCCGCGCCAGGAGCGACAACAACAGGGGCGGCCGCGACACGTGTGCGACGCACCATGGAGTTTGAGGAGCTGGGCATCGGGGAGGAGTGCGGGGTCTTCGGATGCCTCGCCGCCGGGGTTTGGCCCACCGAGCTGGACGTGCCGCATGTGATCACGCTGGGGCTGGTGGGGCTGCAGCACAGGTAAGGGAAGGGGCTTTGGGGGGGCCACACATGAGGGGGCTCTGCAGGGAAAGGCCTGACCTCCAGTGCTGGAGCCTTGGAGGCACCCTGTTGTGGCTGTGAGCCTTCCTAAAGCTTGCATCTACATCCAGGCATGGGCAAACTTCGGCCCTCCTCCAGGTGTTTTGGACTTCAAAGTTGGACTTCAGAGTTGAAGTCCAAAACACCTGGAGGGCCGAAGTTTGCCCATGCCTGGCTGTAGATGCATCCTGATTCTTCTCAATGTCCCACAGTATTGAGCCTTAGCAGTTACACTACTTTTTGCTAGTGTTTTGCCACTGTTTTTGCCCTCATACTTACGGAGGCCCCTTCCGCACAGCCCTAAATCCCAGAATATCAAGGCAGGAAATCCCACATTATCTGATAACCCAGTTCAAAGCAGATATTGTGGAATTTCCTGCCTTGATATTCTGGGATATATGGTTGCATGATAAATCTGATGTCTTGCAGGTAAGTTTAAAGTACAGCCGGCTCCAAACACCCCAACTTTTCCACATATTTTATTACACAGGGCCTTCACCGATTCCGGTCAAAGTTTCTGTTTTCACCAAACAGTGACTAGATTGAATCTGCTCGGCTCCACACAGCTGTGTAAAATCCCTCATTATCTGCTTTGAAATGAGTTATATGGCATTGTGGACCCAGATGTTTATTTATTTATGTATTTAAAGCATTTATATTCCGCCCTTCTCAGGGCGGAGCACAGCACATACACGGCAAACATTCAGTGCCAGGACACAAATTCACATACAATACATAAACATTTTAAGAAAAATCAAAATATTAAAATACACCATTTAAAACCGCCCTAGCCATCCACATCAAATCTAATTGGCCTGGTCATCTTTCCTATTACCGCTTTATTGCCCTGTCCCAAAAGTGTGGTCCCACAGCCAAGTTTTGACCATCCTTCTAAAGGACAGGAGGATGGGGGCCGACCCTCCATAGCCATAGCAGGGGAGCAATCACCAAGAAGGCCCTGTCTCTCTTCCCCACCAATCGTGCCTGTGACAATGGTGGGATGGAAAGCAGGGCCTCCCCAGAGGATCTTAATCTCCGCGATGGTTCATAGGGGGAGGTAATTTGGACCGGAGCCGTTTAGGGCTTTATAGGCCAAAGCCAGCACTTTGAATTGTGCCCGGTAGCAAACTGGCAGCCAGTGGAGCTGGCGTAACATGGGAATTGTATGCTCCCTGTATGCCACCCCAGTTATTAACCTGGCTGCCTCTCGTTGAATTATTTGAAGCTTCCGAGCAGTCTTCAAAGGCAACCCCATGTAGAGTGCATTGCAGTAGTCTATTCTAGATGTAACGAGAGCGTGGACCACTGTGGCCAAGTCTGACTTCCCAAGGTACGGGCGCAGCTGGCGCACAAGATAACTCAGGGCTCTTCCACAAAGCTGTATAACCAAGGCAGAATAACCCATAATATATGCTTTGAACTTGAATATCTGAGGGCCCTTCCACGCAGCCCTATATCCCAGAATATCAAGGCAGAAATAATAATATGAGCCCCTAGTGGCCCAGTGGGTTAAACCACTGAGCTGCTAAGCTTGTTGACCGAAAGATTGCAGGTTCGAATCTGGGGAGCAGCCTGACCTTCTGTTGACAGCCCCAGCTTCTGCCAACCTAGCACTTCAAAAACATGCAAATGTGAGTAGATCAATAGGTACTCCTCTGGCGGGAAGGTAACGGCGCTCCATGTAGTCATGCTGGCCACATGACCTTGGAGGTGTCTACAAACAATGCAGGCTCTTCAGCTTAGAAATGGAAATGAGCACCACACCCCAGAGTTGGACACGATTGGACATAATTTAATGTCAGGGGAAAACCATTACCTTTATCTATTATAACTTTATTTTTATACCCCGCCAACCACCTCCCCAAGGGGACTTGGGGTGGCTTACAAGGGACAAGCCCAAAAATTACAATAAAACACAACAGATTAAAAAAGTATGAAAATATAAAAAACAATCACCATTGTAAACAACATTAAGCAATATGGCTGAGATAAAGAACACAGGTACAGGTGAGGTACAGGTGAGGTACAGGCTCACTGAGTACAATACATTCTGAAGGGAGTGCAAGGAAAGTGCAATAATCCAGTAGGTGGGGCTGGGAATACTGTCATCAAAGGTGTTGAGGTAGAAGATAAGAGGGCCAGTGTAAAGTGCTGAACTTAAAGTAGGGACAGGAAAGTTATTGGTGGACTGCTTAATCTGCTTTGAACTGGGTTATCTGAGTCCACACTCAGATAATGTGGGATTTCCCGCCTTGATATTCTGGGATATAGGGCTGTGTGGAAGGGCCTCCAGATAATCCAATTGTATGATTATCTGCCTTGATATTCTGGGTTATATGGCTGTGTGGAAGGGTTCTGGGATCAGATCCTGGTATATAGGGCAGTGTATATCCATCTTAAGTAGCCATTGCTAATTGTAGTCTTATTCCTTATGTAGATGTAGTGAAATCAGAGCTTGGGAATGTGGCCATGTTGGCTGGAGGATTTTGGAAGGGTTGTCTAAACAAAATAACATGTCTATGTTCCGGTTTTCATTTGCAATACAGATTTCCCATTTTATGTATCAATATATTCTTGCAGTGCAGAGTGAGTATTAAACTCTTCAAGATTCCTATATTATTAGCTCAAGGGATGATATGTTGGTACAGACTGAGTATATTTAATCTGGAATTCACAAATTTGAAAAAGTGAAATCTGAAATTGTTCTGAGTTTTGGGGCCCTTCTACACTGCCAGATAATCCAGTTCAAAGCGAATAATTTTATTTATTTACTCCATTTATATACCATTTTTCTCAGCCCTCGGGCGATTCAACGCGGTTTACAGTAGCAAAATTCAATGCTTGAACATCATAAAACAGATTAAAACAATTAAAAACCATAGCATCAATATACAAACATTACAAAGTCAATACTACATTTGGATTTTATATGGCTGTGTAGAAGCGGCCTAAGGGCCCTTCCACACAGCCATATAACCCAGAATATCAAGGCAGATAATTGATAATATCTGCTTTGAACTGAATTATTTGAGTCCATACTGCCATATAATCCAGTTCAATGTGGATTTTATACAACTGTGTGGAAGAGGACTAATTCTTTCATTTCAGTCTACCACTCTATTTTTGCCCCCTCTTGAACTAAGGCTCAACAGATGTGTTGGGCCACAAGCATCACTATTGCTAGCCAGTATGCTGGCCAAGCTGTCTGTCTTTGTCTTCTTATATTTTTAATTGTATACAAATAAAAACTTTCCCAGGTTAATCAAGTCACCTATGAATTCATTACTTGCTTTAGGAGTGATCCTTATTCTAGTAGTCTAGCAGGATTGTGATGGGAAACAATTATTAGTGGGATACTAACAGTAAGCAGAAGTACTCCTTCTCTGACTAGTATCACCAAATGTTTTAAACACCAAAACAATGAGTGAACTGTAAGCCCTAGGAAACATGGCAGGTTTTACTTGCAAGTAAAGGTGGCATAGGTTGGTGCTGAGACCTCTGTCCCAGGCTTATTTCTGCATCAACGACTCACTAAACTACTTTTGCAAGCCAGAGCTGACTGAGAAAATAATCATCTCTCACAGGCACACAAAACAATACGTTGCATAACTGAATATTACTTACACCAGATTCTATAGGCGGAGGTGAGTTGCATCACTGTACTGATAAGACCTGGCCTCACCTTGATTTCTCCTCTAAAGCAATCTGACTTTTTCTCAACCATTCCTTCTATGATTTTGTCACTCCTTAACTTAACTACTTACATATTCATTGAGTAGCATATTGTAAAGACACACCTTTCCCTCCACTTTCATGTATTGTAAAGCACTTATTGGTTTGGCAATTTCCCATAGAGAAGATTAAGAATTAGATGTTGCTGAACACAACCTGTTGACATTTCCCACTGTTGTCTGTGCTGGTTGGAGCTACTGGGAATTATAATCCAGCAATAGCTGGATTACCACATCGTTCTTCCTCATGATAAACCTACACTGCATAAATACAATATTCACATGTAACCATTTAGAGTGCACACACATTGTACACACATACAAGTCAGGTATGAAGCATAATTGTTAAAAGCAAAATGACCAGATTTAATTCTACACAAACATATGCTTGCTCTTTTTTCCTGTTGCTTATTGTCTTTCACATGACTCTTTGGTGCTTTAGAATCTTAATTGCTTTATCAATGGGTTTTTTAGATTACTAAGTGGTGTGTGTTTTGTTTGCTTCAAAATCTCACATTTGTTTGAATTCCATTTAAAGTATTTAGAGATAGCTATATAGGTGCTATCTTGCATCTAGTTACATCTACGTATATGGATTTTCAGGCCCAATAACCTAATCATATACCTGTTTACTCCATTCTAAGTCTTGTAGACTTACAGCATATTTTCTAAGGATGAAACCTGAACCGACAGCTCTTTAGTTAGATTTTAAATTGGGTTACTAACCCTTTTCATTCTTGAATTCCTGATGCTCTTTTGTAGCCATTATGAAATCAGAGGATCATAACATTTCTGGTAAAGTAACTTTTTTCCAAAGGTAACAGTTTCTAGTGGGTCAAATGTGTCAGATTAGTGCAGCAAAATCTAAACCTTGCAACATGACATATGCCATCATTTTCTAGCAATGCTCTATTGCATTCTACATAAGAAAATAGGTCAGCCTCGATGCAATAGAATAAATCTGATATCGGAAATGGCAAGAGCATTTGGCTATGACCTTTGAGTAACCCTACTTGAAGGGGGAAAAGAATTGCAAGGGTAAAAGTTCATGCATGACGTAGAAGCCTATCTGCTTTGGTTTGAATAGAGACAAAGACTTCATTACATTCCATGTATTGATTAGCATATCAATGAAAGGATGTCTGTATCCACCCAACTATTGTTTGTTAATGTTACAGTTGAAGTGTTACTAATTGTTTTCATTTCTTG